CTACCCATAGCATGGGCCATTGCAACTCATGTCAGAGCATGGAACACCTGTAGAAACCGGCCCCACATGCATATGCACAACTAGAAGTATATGGTGAAATTTTGACCAATGGCGAACAGGAGCCAGCGTATAAATGCTTTCCTCTTTCTCCTCTCCAGTGCAGAGTTCTGAGACACATTTCACAAGGCTTCTCAGAAAGTACCATAAGGTCAATCAACTAGTTACCCATGGCAGGAGTCAATTCAATAATGCATTCTTGAATTGGCTTTTCGTCGGAACTCCAATCCTACTCCCTGAACTCATATTCTCAAGTAAACTACCAGCCCGTGAACCTTTGTCTTGGGCTCTGCTTTCACGGGATGGCAGGCACCAAAAGTGGCCTTAGTAAGCCGATTCTTCAGTATGGAATTTTGGAGCTGGACCCTACAGCACTGATCACAAGACAGTAAGGACCCCAGCTGGTGGTCAGTGGTGAATGGTCGACTGCAAGTGGTGATAACCCTTAGCATGCAATATGCCCACAATTACTAGGACTCTCAACACAGTACGAATACACTGGAATGAAGTAGAAGCAGAAGATGAAGCATTGGATTATATTGTGGATATGGTAGTAGAGCATTATGGAAGCAATTATAATTATAAGGCAGGCTGACTGCTGTTAACAGCTTTGGAGATCTCAATAAAAGGAAATAACAGGCTCAATTCATCCAACTATAAAAAACAGAGTACGCTATGAAAGGCAGAGAGCCTCTAGGGCAATGCAGCCACTGAGCAGACTGTGCTGAAAATCAGCCCCAGAACTAATCATAACAGTTGCATGGATGCAAAGGAGGCCAAACGCACAGCCTTGAAACATCACCTACGCCAAAGCCAGGACCCTCATAGAAAAATAATGGAACTTTGAGATCTAGAATGGGGACATTTGTATGGGCCTTATAATCATAAATCCCCAGATTTTTTTTTTTTCATCCTCTGCACCAACAGTTTTCTTCTTCTTGATAAAAGAAAGCAGCGTTCCTTGTCTGGAAATGCTGCAAAGAATATACCTGAGGCAAATGCTCCATAATAGGACCCTAATTGTCCTCAATATCCACCCCTGTCACCACCACTAGGCTATGTTTCCCAGAAGTAAGGATGTTGGAATGAACTTCCTGTAAAACTAAAGTATTCACCACTTGGACATACTGCCCAGAAAGGCTGGGAGGCAAGTTGCCCTAATGTTCAGGCCATTTCTTCCAGCAGATCTTATGCTGCTAGAAGGATCTATGATGGATAAGAGCACTATGTGAAGTTTCTGGAAAGCACCAGGAAGACAGTTGCAGCATAGCTCCCTAGTGTTCTGTAGAGCGTGCCTTCTGAGGCAGAGAAGTAATCTCCCTTGGGAAACTAGAGCTACATATTATCAGTCCCACCAAATCATAAGTGCAAAGGTGCAGAAACAATCTGTTGAAGGATGGAAATCGTATAGGATCTAGCCCGAGCAGGTCTAGAAGACACAAGGAAATTACACGAATGTGCGATCCAAACTCCCATGGGCACTTGCTTTTATCGCATTGACATCTCTTCCTCCGCTCACTCCTATGGCCTCTTGGGAGTTCTTTATGACTACCTAACACAGAATAAAACATCTGAGCCTGGTTCACAGATGAGCTGGCACGTGTTGCTGGTGGGTAGTTAAAATCTGACTGCTGCACTTTAGCCCCACTCGGGGATAGCTGTAAAGAGCAATAGCCTGTGGGGGGATCTTTTCAGTTGGCAGAGCTCAGAGCAGTGTATTTTATTGTTCGCTTTATATAGAAGGAGAAAGGGCCCGAAGTAAAAATATTTACAGGCTCCTAGATTTTCCTTTCTTGCCTACATTGACTCTGCCAACATTCACGATCACCAGAACTATAGCAGTCTTAATCAATGTTACCTCAAACAAGAAATCCATTTTATAGCCCCAAATAAGTGACAATATACACATGACCATAGAATTCGCTGTTAATCAGATATTGCCATACCCTTCATCAGTCAGATGCAGCTAGCCTTATAAAATATGGTGGAATGGCCTGTCACAGGCTCAGCTAACATGCCTTCTTGGGCTTGGGGCATGATACTACAGGATGTGGTAAGTGCACTGAACCAACCAACAAGAGTGGCTCCAACAGCTAAAGACATGGCTCCCAGAAACCCAGGGATGGGAGCAGAATTGGTCCATTTTATTATCACTCCCAATGATCCACTTGCAGAATTTGTATTTCCTGCCTCTCAAATTTAGGCTTTGCTCGATTGCAATAATTGTTTCCCCAGGGGTTGGGGGAGGGGGAATGCTTCCACCAGAATACACAGTATGGAATTCATTGCACTTGAAACTCTCACTATCACTTGGTCACTTTGTGCTTCTCATGGCCATGGAGCAGCCGGCAAAGTAAGGAGTTACTGTTTGTGGGAGTAATCAACTGTGATATGGAATTGCTGCCAGATAATAGCAGTAGGGAGGAACGTATCTGGAATTCAAAGAATTCACTGGGGCTTATCTTGGTGTTTCTGTAAACCAGGGATAAATTGAACAGGCAATTATAGCAATCATGGCTCAATCAGTGCAAGGAAAATAAAAGCTGAAAGTCTGGGTTACTCACTAAAGAAACAACCTAGGTCAGCTGATCTGCTGGCCAACAGTGAGGAAAAGTTAGAACGGGGAGTGGAAGAGGGAGTTAACTAATACAAGTGTGGTCTTGACATCGGTGCAGCAGTGGAAACTGAAGCTTATTCTCTGAACTCTGTTATAGTAAGTCCTTGCCAAGATTGTCACTGGCCATCACCTTGAAGGGACCTCTGTGAAGCACTGGACTTAATGGAGTGCACAAGAAGACTACAGTGGTGCAAAGAGTATACTGAAATGAACACCTACTGTGCACCTTCTGTCACTTCAACTCCCTCCAGCCTCTTATTCTAACCACTGGTACAGCAACCTGCTCTGAGCAGGGTTTGATGAGCTTTGGGCAAGTGCAACATGACAGCATCTCTCCTCTCACTTCCTGTCCCAGCATGTCTCTGATGTGGGAGCCAGCTTGGCATTAAGTGTTGAGTAGTCAATGCCCAGGAGCACTAACCTTCGATCAAAGGGGACAGGAGCCAACATAAAAATGCTTCCTCCATTCTTGCCTTCAGTGGACAGCTCTGAGACTCATTTCATAAAGCTTCTTAGAAGGTCCTAAGGGATTGACAAAACCTTCAAACAATGACCAACTCACTAACACGTCCTTAGACCACATCTCCTCCCTCTTCCTTGTTTCACTTCCCCTTCTTCTTCCCTCACTTTTGCTCACTGGGGTCAAATTTCCAAATAAACTATTACACATAAGCCTCATTTGGGGGGGGGCGGATCCAGGAAGCGAGAGGAGGGAGGAGAATTTAATTTTTGGATGCATAAGTTTGAGATGCTTATAAGACATCCAATTGCAAAAGACAGGTAGTGGGCAGTGGACACACAAATCTGAAATTCAGGGAAGAGGCCCAGGCTTCTGAAATTCAATTCATTTCCCAACTTTGAGGATGGCTGTAAACATGCAGGTAAATAAAAGGTAACAGGACAAAAAAGCACATGCAGTTGTCATATAAAGAGTGCCCACAGGAAGCGTTCTTGGACCAAGCAGGAAGGACCTAAGGAATCTTTGTAAAGATAGGACTAGATCCTGCTCGTAAAAGGGATGCCATTCAATAAACGTGAAAGATATTCCAAGTAGCATTGACTTCAGCATATTAATCTTAGTAGCAAACAGTTCCCTTCTGTTTCTGCTAATTTTTCCAGCAAATTATTTCTTCAGATAAACATTGAAAGATATTTTGCACAGCTCATTTGTCTCAGTGAATCCATTCCTGGCAAAGTGAGTCCCTCCCTCTTTTGCATTCCCATGTTACTTTAGTCTCTTTTTCTCTACCTTCACTATTGCATTTACCTTAGTAGTCTGTAATTTATCCATCTATTTAATTCTGTCTCCCAGTGGGTGTGCCCTCTTTCTGAGTGGGGTCCCTGTCTTTGTATCTCCAGCATCTAACACAATGCCTGGCATAAAGATAGCTCTGGTTGCTTGTCCAATGAATAAATGTATAATGTATGCATGAATATATTCCTGCAGCCTCTTGCAAAGGACTATGTTGAGGAGGAGCAAAGAAATAGCTCCTTTGAATTTTCAGCACACTTATATCGACCTGCACTTCTCTTTGCTCTCTTCTTTTGTGTCTTATTTTTAATATATTTGTATCCTTACCTTGTCTAATTTTGCCATATTGCGAATCCTTTCAGGGTTGGATTCATGCCTGAATCTCCTCTGCACCTGGAATCAAAGTGTCTGGCATAAAACAGGTTAGGAAGATGGAATAAACAAATCATCTATCTTGCAACCAGCAACACTGGCATCATTTCTGCCTCTCAGATGCAAATGTGATAAGCATCGTGGTGTTAAGATGCAGATTCTGATTCAGTGGATCTGAAATGAGCCAGACAGGCTGTATTTCCTTAAAAGCCCCAGATGATGCCCAAGCAGCTGGTCCACGGACGACACTTTGAGTATCAGGGTCATTAAGGCAATGGTTCTCGACTGTACCTGCATATTAGAATCATCTGGGAAGATATTAAAAGTATTGATGTCTGGGTCCCACCCCCAGAATTCTGATTTAACTCACTTAAGATTTTCAGGGTTTAAGTAGCAAATATGTAGAGTTAACAGAGTTTTACATATGCAAGATAGAAAACATTGAATTGAATCTCTTTTAAATGGATTGCTGCAAATATCTGAATAAATAACTCTTCTAGAGAAAGTAAACACCACACAGCATCAAATCTCCACCTGCCCAGTCTTTCAGTATTAGAAGCCCCGCCCCTGCCTTTCCTTGACACGCCCCTCCGGCGAGGCCTTGGCCCTCCTCCCCACGCCCATCAGGTGGCGCCCCGCCCCCTCCTCGTCTATTGGCTGCTCCCTTTTTCCCGGGGCCTCTTCTTCCTTCTTTACGGGCTCGCCTTCCGGCGTGGAGTTTGTCACGTGCCCGGATACGGGAAGTGGTAGGGGAACGCCCGCTTCCGGTTCCGTGCTTTATTGAGGGGTGAATCCTAGTGGCAGTGGCCGCGCAGGCCCCATCCCGTCTCCGTGTTGGAGGACCCGCCTCGGCACTGCCGGGCTCGGTCCGGCCTTGCGGTAAGCGTTCGGCCGCGGCTGCCCAGTGGTCCTGGTGGTGGCGGACAGACGGGCGCCGGGGTCTGAGGCGGCTGCTCGGCCCCGGTGCCGTCTCCGTGCCGGGGTTGGGCACAGCTCCCTCCGTTGTGAGGCCCCTCTGCCCTTCCCGACTAAGATGCTAAGCTCTGTCGGAGCATCCTCTGACTCCTTGACCTGGGGGTGGGGAGAATACGGAGCGGGAGGGACAGTCTTCACACGGCCTTCTACAGTTCCGCCCATCGGAACCAGATTTCGTTTGTGCAAAACATCCCTGATCGTACCCTCTTGGTGTGGACCAGGAGAGGAGGGTGTGACAGTGCCTCCCCCCTTGTTCAAATCCACCTTTTTTTCTAAATCTCTTAAGTGCATTTCCCTATCTCCGTGCACAGTGTTCTCTTCTGGATAACAATGCTCCATGTGCTAAGATATTGCAACAGCATTTGGGGCCCAACTCACATGGGCACTCAAACTGACCAGCTACTTGTCACGCGGTATAATGGTCCAACTGAGTTTAAGGAAACAGGAACAAACAGAGTAAGCAGTGGCTGTCTCCCTTTGGAATGTGGTCAGACATGGGTTCTTAGTCTTGGAAAATAATTTTAGAAGACCTTTAGTGATACTTTTACTGACTTAAAAAAGAGTACTGTAAAGACTGGAGAGTTAATCACTCGCCTCATAGAATGTCAATGCCATGGAAGCACGGGTCATCTTTTTTATGTTCACCACTGTATCCTAAAGCATTGCCTCGCACTTATATTGACATCAGTATTTTCTGAATGAATAGACATACTGCTTTTCATTGTGTTCTATGTCCATCCTCTCTTGTTTTACGAATACTTACCATACACTCAGTCGTTGCTTTTGACCAAAGAGAGTCTGTGTGGTATACATTGGTCACTGTTAGTCATTCATTTGACCAGTTTTTACTATTCAGTTCAGGTCACTTCAACAGGTATTTGTTAAGTACTCACTAAGGACACAAAACTATGATAGAGCAAGCATCCCTCTCTCTTCTGTCTCTCTCCTGTCTGTCTGTCTGTCTGTCTGTCTCTCTCTCTCTCTCTCTCTCTCTCTCTCTCTCCAGGGTCTTGCTCTGTCACCCAGGCTGGAGTGTAGTGGTAGGCTCACAGCTCACCACAGCGTCCAACTCCTGGCTCAAGCCATCTTCCTGCTTCATTCTCCTATGTAGCTGGGACTACGAGCACGTGCCACCCTGTCCCAGCTAATTTTTTTTGTTTTATTTTTATAGAGATGAGCTCTCACTATATTGTCCAGCCTTCTCTTTCTCTTTAAGAGAGTTCTTGAGATCCAGGAGCTTACAATTTTATAAGCCAATTAGAGAGCAAGTGCTTGATTGTTTAGTAAGTACAATAAGTGCTGTAGAAATTTAGAGGCGAGATCAATTTAGATTAAATATCTTTATTGAATCAACTTCCTGTAAACTATGAAGTGTAATTAAGCTTCGGATAGGGAGGAGATAATATTCCTTGCGTGGAAAAGTGCCTAAGCAAAGATTTAAAGCCCAAAATGAATAGAGTCTTGGAGTGGAAAGTTTATATTGGGGAACATTAGGAAAATATTGAATAAGGGCTTGGTGTGATGGAAACTATGTTTTAAGATTATTTGGTCATTGTTCAGGGTAAGGGAAGCTTGCAAGAGATAATCAGATGCTATGGTGTTAACTAGATAAAGCTGATATGAACTGGGGTTGTGTGTTGGCAGTGGGAAAAGAAAGGAAGGAATAAATTATGTGTAGATGGGGGAAATCACAGAATGTGATAGCAGATTTCATGTTGGTGATGGAGCAGGGAATCAAATATGACAGATTTTGAACCTGGACATTTGCATACTGATGTGAAAGTTGGAAAGGGGGAATTTTGGAGGAACTATGGCTGCTGTGTTATTTGGTGTTGTCATGTTAATTAATTTAAGCATTTATTAAATGCCTACTTTGCTAAGTTCTAGGAATACAAAGATGACTAAGACATGGTCCTTGCATGCAAAGGACTACTTTTAATGGGGGATAGAATACAACTAGCTAGAAAATGCAATTCGTAAGCACTTTGATATCAGAGTAGAGGGGAAATGTTAGAGGAGTAGAAAATAAATTATTCCCTGTATGTGGGAGAGAAGGAGGCATTACTTCATAGAGGCAGCAACATAGTCTTGAGAGACAGGTTGGAATTTCCCAGGGAACAAAAGAACTCAAGGAAAAGGAAATTGCATGAACAAAAGCCCAGAGATAGAAAAGTAACATTGCCAGTGTCCTGTAAGACTTGGACACAGGATGGAATAGAGCTCTAATATAGTGTCAAGGCCCTAGAACATATTGAGGGATTAGCAATATGGTCACTTTATAATAGGCCAAATGGAGGTTAGGATGGGCGAAGGTATAGAATCGGAGAAGAAAGCAGTTGGGGAGAATTGTACTTCATGGCTTCTATATTCTCTGCAAGGTAGATGGTGAAGTCATTTGCAGAGAGGGAGGAGGCTGACACTAGAGTTGGGGGCTGAAGGAGAGTAATAAGGGTTTGCAACAATGGTCATGGGGAAACCATAAAAAAAAAAGTATTAAAAAATTGCTGAACAGCATTGAAAGTCCAGCTTTGGCTGGATTTAGATATTTTTAATGCATGCAATGAGCATGGATATGTTGCTTTCTAAAGTGGCATCTGGTTGCCCAAGAGAAATGGAGGAAAAAATAGTTTATGGAGATTGATAAAAAACAGGATGAACTGCTCCAACCAGGGTATAATAATTGAAGGGGGATACTATGGGTATAGGCAGTGGTCCCCAACCTTTTTGGCACTGAGGACTGCTTTCATGGAAGACAGTTTTTTGATGGACCGTGGAGGCAGGGGAATGGTTTTGGGATGATTCAAGAGCATTGCATTTACTGTGCACTTTATTTCTATTATTATTACATTGTAATATATGATGAAATATTTATACAACTCACCATAGGTTGGGGACCCCTGGACCATATAGGAAAATGAGCTGTGCATCCAAGCTAGGTTGGGAAACAAGTAAGCTTGAAGAAGCCAGATAGATTAAGAGAACAAGAAGGAGAGGGGTCTCAGAAGACTGAGAAGAGGGAAGGAAGTGGGAACATGTGATTTTTATGAGAAAAGCAATTTTTGGAGTTGGAGCAGAGATAGAAGTTTCACAGACTAAGTAAAATATAGGAAAGACCTAGTTTACAAAAGTGTCATTGTGTTATTAAAATGCATTGTAAATCATTTATTTAAAACTCATAATTTCTTCATTTCCCATAGAAAGAAACAGTATTTAGAATTTAGTGCCCTAGGCAAGCTCACATGTATGAGATACTACACATTTGCATTGGAAAATAGTAATATATGCACGCAAATATGTATATGAAAAATAAAATAGAGATTTTTTGTTTGTTTGTTTGTTTGTTTTGTTGAGACAGAGTCTTACTCCGTTGCCCGAGCTACAGTGACGTGGTGTCAGCCTAGGTCACAGCAACCTCAAACACCTGGGCTCAGGCGATCCTCTGGCCTTAGCCTCCCAAGCAGCTGAGACTACAGACATGCTCCACTATGCCCGGCTAAAATAGAGATTTTTAAAAAATATTTCAACTTAAGTATTGGTGTTTGAAAGAAACTGAGTTAGATGAGAAAAAGGAAATATTTGAAAACGTGTATTTATAACAGGTTTATTGAGATATTCACATATCATAAAATCCACCCTTTTTAATTGTATAATTCAATGATTTTTTTTTAGTATATTCATAAGATTGTACAACCATCACCCCAATAAGGAACTCTATCCCCATTAGCAGCCATTCTTCCTTCCCCTCTGAACCCTAGCCACTACTAATTATTCTGTCTCCATGGATTTCTCATTCTATTTCATATAAACGGAATCATACAATATATGATCTTTTGTGTCTGGCTTCTTTCACTTAGCATAATGTTTTCACGATTAGTCAATGTTGTAGCATGTGTCAGTACTTCATTCCTTTTTTTAATGGTGAAACAATATTCCACTGTATGGATATACCACATTTTGCTTATGTAGCAGTTAATGGACATTTGGGTTGTTTCTTCTCTTTGGCTATTGCAAATAATTCTGCAGTGAGCATTCATGTACAAGTTTTTGTGTGGACATATGTTTTCAGTTCTCTTGGGAGTGGAATTGCTGGATCATATGATAACCCCATGTTTAACTTTTTGAGAAACCACCAAACTTTTCCAAAATGGCTGTACCATTTTACAATCCTACCAGGATTGTATGATAGTTCCATTTGCTCCACACCTTCAGCAACACTTGTTATATTCTGTCATCCTAGTGGGTGTACAATGGTAGGTATCTCATTGCTGTTTTTGCTTTGCATTTCCCTAATGGCTAATGATGTTGAGCATCTTTTCATGTGCTTATGGCCATTTGTGTATCTTCTTTGGAGGAAATCTTTTATTCAGTTTTTAATTGGGTTATTTCTTTTATTGTTGAGTTGTAAGAGTTCTTTATATAGGAAACTATATTTAAGAAATGAACATGGGTTTTAAATTTCTTTTTAATATCTGTGTGTTATAGTACTTGGTGAGTACTTCCAAACATTTTAGAGTTTGATAACACTGGTTCTCTAATTTCATTTTCTAATTTACAGCTTTATATATTTATGATGCAGGTGTATTAATGTATTAAATCATCAAAATAAGATCATTTTTAATCATAAAATGGATAGTATGAGGTGACATGATTTTGATAAAGAGCTTAAGATATACCTTGAATTTTTTCAGCTGAGAAAAGATGACAGCAATCAAGCATGCATTACAAAGAGACATTTTTACACCGAATGACGAACGTCTGCTCAGCATTGTGAATGTCTGCAAAGCAGGAAAAAAGAAAAAGAACTGCTTTTTGTGTGCCACAGGTGAGTATGTAGTAAGAAAAAGTACTTGTTTGGTATTCTTTTGTTCCTTACCAGAATGAAATACTGTTTTAAATATTCTCATTGTCTCTATAATTGGAAAGTTGTTGGGTCAACAAATTCATTTCTAAATTGTTTTTATTAAATATTGAGTAGATATAAAAGAATTTCTATAACATATGTATATAAGGTGTAAAGACTAAATTTAAATATACAGTGAACATTTGTGTATTCACCTCTCAGTATAAAAAGAATATTCCATTACTTTTGAAGTCTCCTGGGTGCCCTTCCTTAATCTTACTCCCTTCCCTCCCCCATTAAGAGGTAACTGGTATCATGAATTTTAATTTACTATTTCCTTGCTTTTCTTTATCATATTACCATATATATGTTTGTAATTTCAAACAACATATTGTTTGGTCTTGTGTGTCTCTTGCATGTCTTTGACTTTACGTAAATTGAATCATAGTGCATGTGTTCATTTGTGACTTCTTCCAATCAATGTTATGTTTATGTTCATGACTTTTGTTTTTATTCTTTCTACAGCCATAATTCTTTTGTATTCACTGCTTTGTAATATTGTACTGTATGAGTATACCACAATTTACTTACCAATCCATAGTGATGTACATTAGGTTTGTTTACAGTTTTTGCTATTCATACAGTGCTTCTGTGAACATGTTTGTTCTTATCTCCTGGTATATATGTAGGCAAGAATTTTCTAGGGTAGATACCTAGATGTGAAATTGCTGAGTCATAGGTATATGAATTATCATTTCTGCTCTAATACTAAATTATTTTCAAAAGTAGTTGTTCTAGGTGTGTGTTTTGGGTTCTACACATCCTCCTCACCACTTGGTTTTGACAGGTTGTTAATTGTTGCCAATCTGGTGGGAGTGAAATAGTATCTTACTGTGGTTTTAAATTGCGTTTTCCTGGTTAATAATAAGATTGAGTATCTTTTCATGAATTCCTTAGCCATTTAGTTTCCTTGTCTGTGACATTTACCAACTTAAGCCTTTTGCTCATTTTTTAAATTGTATTGATTGTTGTCCTTTTACTGATTTGTACAAGTTCTTTGTATAATGTGGATATTATTCTTTTGTTGATTGTATGCACCCCAGTGGCTTGTCCTTTTACTTTTTCTGATGACTTTTAATGAAATTATAATTTTAATTAAAATTAATCAATCTTGTCCTTTATGCCTTCCCCTTTTTGTGTTAAGATATCCTTCCTATATATCTTTTAGTCAGTCATAAAAATAGTCTCCTATATTATTTTCTAAGAGTTTTATAATTTTATCATTCACATATTAGTCTTTAATTCATCTGTGTTCACATTTATAGTGATGTATATGATTGTATTTGTTTCTGAGTTCTCTCTTATATCTTGTTTTTGTTCTATTTTGTTTTTGTTCTTTACTTTTTGACCTACATTTTAGAATTAACTCGTCAAGTTTCAGATTTTGGGGGGATTTTGATTTGAATTGTTTTTTAACCATAGTTCAATTTGGAGAGAACTTGCATTGTTATGATATAGAATCTTCACGTCCATGAACATGGTACAGTTCTCCATTTACCTAGGTCTTTTATAATGCCGTTCTATAAGTTTCATCATTTTCTCTAAAGGTTTTGCATGTATATTGTTGGATTTGTTCTAGGTATTTATTTATTCTTAGATTTTTTTGATGTAATCATAAATAATAGCCCTTATTAACATTAATACATTTTTTAAATCATTTGTTGTTAGAATCCTAAAATGTAGTTGTTTTATTATGTGGATGTTAAGCAATCTTGCTAAATTTTGTTATTCTAATTATTTGTTTGTAAATTTTCTGAAAGTAGTGATATTTTTCTTCCTTCCTTTATAGTCTTTGTATTTTTTGTTTATTTTTCGTGCTTTAGTTTGCTAGTTAGGACCATCAGTACAGCTTTGATCTCAAAGAGAAGGATTTCACTTTTAAGTATGATATTTGCATAGGTTTTTTTGAGCTATCCTTTACAGTGTTAAGGAAGTTCCCTTTTATTCCTGGCTTCTTATGCTTTTTTTCTTTCTAATTCTTATTTTTTTTTTAAATCATGAATAGATGTTGAATTTTATCAAGTGTTTTTTTTTATATCATTGAGATTATCATATAATTTTCTCCTTTAATTTGTTAGTGTGGTTAATAATTGTATTTAGTTTTTCAAATGATAATTGACAACTTAGAATAAAATATGCCATTACTTATAACATATATTATAATTTTAGGTACTACTAAAAATGCTATAATATTGCTTTGATTAAGATTTATCATGATTTCAGGAATTTTTAAATGTGGGGGGAAAAGTCCATCTTAGATTTGATGAAACGAAGTGTTATCTTCTGTATATACCCTTGGTTTACCAATACAATACTATATTTATTTTAAGATTTTGCATCAATGTTCATTAGTTACATGGTCTTGTAATCTTCTCTTTGATACTATTTTTGGCTTTATAACCAAAGTTATAAAATAAATTGGAGAGCATTCCCTCGTTTTCTATATACTGCAATAGTTGTGTGTGTTTGGAATGATTCATTCCTTGAAAACTTGGCAAAAGATACCAGTAAAACTGTGCTGGACTAGCTTTTTTTGGTGGGGGGTGGGGGGAGACTTTTTACTTACCGGTGTAATTTCTTTAATAATTATAGAATTTTCTGTATTTTCTATTCTTGAGTCAATTTTGGCAAGTTACATTTTTTAGTGAATTTTTAGGGTTTTTTAGGGAAAACCACTTCACAAATGCATTTACATTCACTCTAGTCCACCCTCCATTCTACGGCCAGATTAATTTTTAGAAAATGGAAATTAGAAGATGTCATTTTCTTGATTAAGATCTTGTAATAACCACCCCCCAAATTCAGATAAAGGCCTTTTATGATCTGACATCCCATATATTTTAGTAACTTCACTTCCATGCACCTTATTGTGTGTACTATCTATATTGAACTATTTATTGTTGTTCTTTGAAATGGTGTATGCTCTGTCAGGCCTCTCTGATTTTACATATGTCAGTTCTTTAGATTTTTACCTCATATTCTTCCTTTAAAACTGGTCTGAAGATTTATTCCTCAAGGAATCTGCTTCTGACCCTCTAGTCTGATTATATGCATCTATTAGGATTCTGTGCATTCCTGTCATAGCAGTTTGTTGTAAAGTATTACATCTTTTTTCATATCATGTATTAGGCATCCGAATGCTATATTTGCAAAGAGCTAATGAAGAAATGAGTGAGAGAAATGATATTTCTAACGAAAGTGTGTGTTTTACTTAACAGTGACAACGGAACGCCCCGTGCAAGTGAAGGTGGTCAAAGTTAAGAAATCTGATAAAGGTGATTTCTACAAAAGGCAAATTGCTTGGGCCCTTCGAGACCTTGCTGTGGTAGATGCCAAAGATGCTATCAAAGTATGTTTTTCTTAGTTCTTTGTTTTCAGAAAGCATCTTTCATGTATAACATAGTATTTTTTATTTTAAGATGATCTAAACTTGTTTTGTGACCACTGGTCTACCAGCTAACCAAGAATTAGTCTAAAATGTGTCATTCAGCCTTCCAACCCCCAACTCCTGGGCTACTAAAAATAAGTACATATGTATGTTTATTTCATTTTCTTTTTGCTTTTTTTAAAGCAACAGTTATGTTTGTATGTAAACTGCGTAAACTAGAGCAAAATAAAGAAAGTTGAATAATGTGATAATCATGTTAAAGGACCAACCACCTATAATCTTGACAGTTCAAAGCTTTTCACAGCAATACCCTTTTTTTCAAGGAAACCAAGTAAAACTCCTTTGATTAAATTGGGTGTTTCTTCCTCCTCCTCTCTGCCCCTGCCCCTCATCTTCCTCTGCAGCCCAAAGGCCCCTCCAGAGCACTAGGGAAGACATGCACCACATCCGCCTGTACTGTCGATAGGACTAATAGCAAGGCTTATGCTAACGAAGCTATAGATGCCCTTTGACTTAACTCTATAAGTTTCATACGTTTATTAAAAAGACACAAGAGTGAAAAAAAAAACCACCTTTATAAAACAATCTGGTAAAATTGTGATTTTACCCTTACCTTGGTACAAACTACTGAGGATCAAAAGTCTGGACAAAATGACAGGTAGTTGAGTCCAATGCAAAAAAAAAGCAGCAAAAATAATTTTAGAAGAGCCCTGCATAACTGCACAATTCAGATTTCTTCCAAATACAGATGATGCCTTTTCTTTAAGTATTTTAGGCAAACTGGGCCTTTGCTTTATCCCTAAGGAGCTCCCAAGCTTTACAAAATTGTGGAATGCGGAAACAGGGTTTGACAGGTACTTCGAAGGGGGAGAGGATGGAAAGAAAATTAGAATGGGATGTCTATAAAACAGTTTCATAAATAATTTCTGTTACCATGGGGAAGGATCAAGGGTGGAGACTTTTTTGGTAGGTTTCTGTTTAACAGAAAATACTTTTAAGGGCTCTTTAAAAATGTACCTTTATGAAAATGCCTTTTTCCCTTCAGGAGTTTTGCACTTCACAGCCCTATTTACTTGCATAATTCACTAACATTGCTGAATGCTTATTCGAATGCTTTCTCACAGCTGATGCCTCATTGCTGACTTGCTTAATGGATTTTTTTTTTCATTTTGTGTAGGTACGTTGGTGTGTGTACACTATATATGGATAGAAAACATAAAACTTTTATACATAGCCTAACATTAGCCATTTAGTATCACACATTGATTTGTGTGAGTGTTGCCACTGGAGCACTCAGCTTCTTTTATGGCATTATGGGAAATATTCCCAGGAAAGAGATCATTTCCCATCAAGTTTCATATGAGTTGCCAATACTCTTAGATTTTTTATAAGTAATAATGCAATTATTATACCTTTTCATTCTAAATGCAGGTTTTTAATTTTTTGATGATTCAGTTCTGTTTATTAAGCTACAAATTGAACTAATTATTCCATGCTACTGTAATATGATTGTTGTACCAAAGATCAAGTCCTGATCCCTAAAATATTCTAATTGCTCACAGTAAAAGTCTGATAAAACCTTTTATCCCCCTAAATTTTTTTTTTTTTTGAGACTGAGTCTCACTCTGTCACCCTGGCTAGAGTGCAGTGGCATTGTCCTAGCTCACTGCAACCTCAAACTCCTGGTCTCAAATGATCCTCCTGCCTCAGCCTCCCAAGTAGCTGAGGCTACAGGTGTGTGACACCACACCCGGCTAATTTTTCTATGTTTAGTGGAGTGCAGGTCTCACTCTTGCTCAGGCTGGTCTCAAACTCCTGACCTCAAAGAATCCTCTTGCCTCAGCCTCTCAGAGTGCTAGGAATACAGGCGTGAGCCACCACACCCAGCCCTAAATAACTCTTTAAATGAATCAAAATATTAGTATCCTCTACCTTGTAGAACATTAAGAACATTTGAGCCTATTTTTTAATTCCTTGGATGTGAAGAAAAGCATACATCCATAAGTTTTTATTTTATACTAATAGTCAAGTAGTTCTGCATTCAAGGGTTGGGAATATTAGCCTGGTATGGAATTATTGCTGTAACCTGGCTTAAGAGACATGTAGAAAGCATAGTGTCATTCTCTCAGAATGGTTGAGCTGCTTTGTCACTTGAAAGAATTTTAAGGCCCACCAGCATTTTTGGCTTTTGGAACACCTTTAATCATGCTGTAGTTTCAAAATAGAAAACAATTAGGAGCAGTACCTGCTTTTCACCTTATTTGTTCTTAGAAAGTACACCAGGATTTATATTATATTTTCATATGTTATAATTAGAAGATACAGTCCTTATTAAGGAGTTAGTAGCAAAGCACAGTTATGAGTAATAGTACATTATCAAATAAAAGGGGTAATTCTTAAACTCTATAGGCAATTTATTTTTTTTTTATTTTTTTTATTTTTTTTGAGACAGAGTCTCGCTTTGTTGTCCAGGCTAGAGTGAGTGCCGTGGCGTCGCCTAGCTCACAGCAACCTCAAACTCCCTGGGCTCAAGCGATCCTTCTGCCTCAGCCTCCGGTAGCTGGGACTACAGGCATGCGCCACCATGCCGGGCTAATTTTTTATATATATATCAGTTGGCCAATTAATTTCTTTCTATTTATAGTAGAGACGGGGTCTTGCTCTTGCTCAGGCTGGTTTTGAACTCCTGACCTTGAGCAATCCGCCCGCCTCGGCCTCCCAGAGTGCTAGGATTACAGGCGTGAGCCACCGCGCCCGGCCTCTATAGGCAATTTAAAAAGAAAGATTAGGTCCATGTCAAAACTAGACACCATTGTCATCCTACTGAGCCACAAAGCCACTAAGTATGTGGCCTGTCATATATTTGAGGCCATAGGAAGAAAAAGACGATAACCATTGTTGTTTTTCACCCAGCTTCTTTTGGGTAATAAGCAAATTTTTTGCTAGAAATTGAATTCTCTGAACCCTTCTTTTCAAGTCACTTTGCTCACTTTTTTTTTTTTTTTTTTTTGAGATGGAGTCTTGCTCTGTCACCCAGGCTGGAGGCCAGTGGTGTGCTCATAGCTCACTGCAACCAGCCTCTAACTCCTGGGCTCAAAAGATCCTCCTACTTCAACCTCTGGAGTAGCTGGGACTACAAGCGTACACCACCATGCCCAGCTAATTTTTTAAAATTTTTTTGGTAGACACAACCGTCTTGATATGTTTCCCAGGCTGATCTCAAACTCCTGGTCTCAATTGATCCTCCCATCTCAGCCTCCCAGAGTTCTAAGATTACAGGTATAAACCACTGCCTCCAGCCTCACTCAGCTGACTTCTAATAATCATTTTTTTCTAAGAACAGCTTCAGTTTTTTTTTTTAATAGAGATTTTACATTAATAATGAAAAGGGATATGATCATAAAATCTTTTGTATATTTTTATTTCAGGAAAATCCTGAATTTGATTTACATTTCGAAAAAATATATAAATGGGTTGCCAGCAGCACTGCTGAAAAGAACACATTTATTTCATGCATTTGGAAGTTGAATCAGCGGTATCTCAGGAAGAAAATTGATTTTGTCAATGTTAGCTCACAGCTTTTGGAAGGTAAAGTTAAATAAAAATGTATATGTAAAATCAAGTGTGTCTTTAAGTGAATATATAATTTGACATTATTCAAAGTAATTAGAATACCGAATTACCTTATATTGTAAGGAAATTTAAAAATAGTTTTTATGGCAGAAATGATGCTTGTTCATTATAGAATATTAATACATTAAATTAAATAAATAAAAAACATAAACTTATATAAACTTACTCCCCAGAGGAAACTACTGTTAACATTTTGTTAGATTTTCTTCTTTTTTCTTTGCCTATTTAAATACTTTAAGAAAGAAAGAAATTCATATTCTGTTTTCTAACATACTTTTTCATATAATGTATTATGAATATTTTTCATGTTATTAAATACTTAATCCAACATTATTTTTAATAGCAACATAGTGTTCCATTATATTGATATACTATAATTTATTTAACTAATCATTTATTTTTAATTTTCCAGTCTTTCCTTATTTTAAACAGCTCTAGGATGAATATCCTTGTAGAGGTATTTTTATTGTCATCCTACTGAGCCACAGAGTATAGGGATAGTATTTAAGAACAGCTCTGGAATCAGACTGCCTGGGTTAAAATCTTGTCTTTGCCACTTACTGGCTATTTGACTATGTATAGTTACTTAGTCTCTATATTTCAATTTCCCCTATCTCAGAAATAGAGATAATAATAGTATCTACCTCATAGGATTGTTACAAGGATTAAATTACTTAATATACAAACAAGATGAAAACAATACCAGGTACATAATAAGTGCTCAATAAATAATTAGCTATTATGTTATCAGGATATAATTCTTAGATATGAAGTTAATTAGGATATTTTTGATCAATGTATCTTTAGGAACGTTCCTATGCATTATTTTGTGTTACAACACAAAAACTCCACCGTTAATGATCAAAAATGTACAATGAGATTTTTTTATACTTTGAAAATTTCTGTTATAAAATCATAAACATTATAAGAAAATAGTTCTGTATACCTTATGGCTATAATGCATTGTATTCTTTATCTCAAAGAAAGCAGTTTAAGTAACAGCTAGAGTGTAGGTGAACAGAGTTGTTGCTCTTCTTTATTGCGGAAAAAAAAATTTAGATTTGTCCGAAACTGTATATTAGCATTTAAAAATAGACGTTTCTATTCTGTCAGGTTGAAACGTCTGAAATTGCCAATACCCAGCTACTTTAACTTGCAAAAATGGTAGTTTCAGATGCTTCAGACTATTTATGTAGTCACTTGCTTCTGTCACTTCTTTTTTGTTTTACTTATTCCTTTTTACTTTGGCCATGGACCTTTATCTCCTGGAGTGTAGTGTTCTTTCCCAGCACTTACTAATTAATAAGCCCGCTGCTGGTTTTAGGCTTGATGCTGGGACTGGGAGAGGCAAGTCCCATCTGATAGACACAAATAGAGCTGGGCTTATGTGGGAGCCCACAGGGTTGCCATCTCACCAACATTGGTCCCCAACAGCTTGGCAATTGAGTGTGTTGAAAGGATGACCTTCAAAAAAATTGTAATTTTTCGTATCTTGAATCATGGTTTAATTTGCTTTGAGTGGCTTTTGTTTTTTACCATTTCAGGGTTGAAATTCTGATCAATGATTCACAAGCTTGCTGTTCTGTTTTCAAATACTATGTACTTCCAGGTGTTATATATTGACTAAGATGTATCTTAAACCAATATGTTTCATTGGGACAGTGATAGGGGAAAATACATACTACACCTCCATCTACGTCATTAAGAAATATTACCAAAATCAGTAAGAAGAGTATAGCCGTGTCTGAAACTGAAGTAGCTAGTTTTAAGGGGGAAAAAAGGCATTTAATTTTTCAGAGCATAAAACAAAAGTGAAAACATGTTCATGTTTATAAACATTAACTCTAATTAAGATCCATTTTAAGAATACTGAGAAGAGTCTTAAGGATCTTATTTTCAAAATCACTTTTTATAGATCAATAACTGTTGCTTTGGTTTAGTGGAGTTCAGGGAATAGCTTTATTAATGTCTACAAACTTGTTTTTAGTTGGCCTTGAAATCATGGCCATTAATTCTCATTTTTAAAAAAAGTCTCCAAGCTTTGGGTGATATTAGAAAACAAATAAAAAATTATTACTACCACCGTTTAAGAGCTCTATCATTATCCAAGATTATAGACTTTTCTAATTATAAATGCTAGCAGTGGCAACTTTGGTAGTTTTTGTTAGTGACGATTGAATGTTTGCATTAAATAATTGGAGCTTCTCAGACAATAAGATTTTTAAGAGAAGACATTGTTAGCAGTTAGAGTAGAGTTTTTGTATGGCTTTTTTGTTTTCATTCTTTTATTTGCAGTCATATTTTTAAAAATATCTTTGACATGAATCCTTAAATGCCAGCTTGAACTGATACCTCATGTGCTTTTTTACTTGGCTTAATCTTGTCCTTTCTAACAGTGTTTTGTGACTAATCCCTGTGAGAGAGTGGGTAAAGCTTTTGGGCCTTGAGTAATGTAACTAGACTAAATGCATGAGTCACAACTGACCTAAAAGTAATACCCAGGAAATGATTTGTTTTCCAGTTTTCTAAGGGTTGGTTAGTGCTGTTTTCTTAAAAGACTCAGAGAAAATAGAAAGATAAATATATTTTTAGTCACTATCAGAAAATGAATAAGAAATAAACACTGGAAGTTTAGCTTCTTAAGGATCTTTCCACTTTGTAGTTGATTTTGATGTTCTTTTTTGAACCTTGATTTAGCATGAAGTTCAAATGAAATACGGGTAGTATTTAAAAAATTTAAGCCTGTATACTTTTCTACCCAGCTAATATTCTTTGCTTACTTTCCTCTGCTTTTTTCATACCTTTTACTCTCCAGAACTGCCTAAAGTTACAGAAGGTGCGTAACACCTTTTCTTCTTATTCTATTCCATATGTTTTTATTAGTTGCCATTGTTATGTACTGTTGGTTGCATATTTTATGAAATTATGTACAGGGACACATTTATTTATAAAATCCATATCATAGTAGAATTAATGATAGTATTTATTATTGGCTATCAAAAGACTTTTCATGCGAGTGAAAAATATTTCTGAAGCAATTATTGTGATCTTTTAAAATACTTATTTTAAATGTCTAGTTGTGTAAGGACCTGTACAGAATGATTAGGGCAGTCCCTGCCTCCTAGTGGCTAATAAGTGGTCACACATGGCAGTTTACCATTTTCATAATGAACTGAAATGGATTCATTCAAAGGGCAAGGAGCTCCGTGATCTCTCTCTAAAGAACTTACATTAAAAAAAAAGGAAATATACTGTAATCTATAATTCTTTTTTTTCTTTTTTTTTGAGACCGAGTCTCACTTTGTTACCCAGGCTAGAGTGAGTGCCATGGCATCAGCCTAGCTCACAGCAACCTCAAACTCCTGGGCTCAAGCAATCCTATTGCCTCAGCCTCCCGAGTAGCTGGAACTACAGGCATGTGCCACCATGCCTGGCTAATTATTTTTTATATATATATATATATTAGTTGGCTAATTAATTTCTTTTATTTATAGTAGAGACGGGGTCTGGCTCTTGCTCAGGTTGGTTTCGAACTCCTGAGCTAAAATGATCCGCCCACCTCAGCCTCAGGCCTCACAGAGAGCTAGGATTACAGGCGTGAGCCACCACACCTGTCCTATAATTGCCTTTCCAAAAGTTTAGTCCTCTCCTTTTTTTTCTGGGATATTATCTAAATCTGCTTATTGCCTTATCATTCTTAAGAGTAAATCCATTGTTACTTCAAATTAGCTGTTTTTTATTCTGGGACAAATGAACATATTTCAAGTTATGCTGAGTGTAAGTATTCATTTTTATATAAAACAATGAATAATGAAAGTATCGAGAGTTTGTGATTTAAATTATGTCCCAGTAAGTCAATGAAATCAATAATTTATTTAGAGTGTCAAAATAATGTCTTATGGGTGAAAAATTACACCTCAAGCTTTATATAAAATGGCCAAATGTTAAGTATATTCTCTCAAAAAAATGAACTGAAACATTTATCAGCAAGCACTTCAGATTTGACCTCTTGGTCTTTTGTTATGAAACATGAAAACGATTTAAATTTTTATAGTTTCAATCAGCCATGTTGTGTTGTCATATTAGAGTTATCAAGAAAGCTTCTGTAGCTCATCTTTAGAAATTTTGTCAATGAAAATGACATTTTTTTAAACTAAGAAATGGTAAATGCAGTTACTATTTTCAATATTAACTAAAATAAATTGTGGATTATAGGTGTACTTTTCATTTTAAGTAAAATTTATTTGAACAAACAAAATATAACAAAAATGAAAAGAGTAAAAATGACAAAAGAAAAATGTTACCTGGGAAAAAAAGGAAAGCAAATTGTTTTCATGTGTATTGAATTCATAGTTATTATTTATTAGAGCAACAACCACTTAAGGTAGGAAAAAATGGTTAGGTTTATTTCCACCTGTTTTTGTGTTTTGTTTTTGTATTTTAGATCAGTTGTGTTTGGGGAATTGTGATGAAAGCCTGTTTTAACACTTACAAGTCAGTGTGCTAGCATGCATGCTTGTTATTTGTTATTTTTTGGGACTTTATGTCATTAACATGAAATTCTTTATAGATATGGGGTTTTTTTCCTCATATATTTTGAATCATTCTGTCCTATTTTTCAGCCACTAAATGTAACCTGTGCTTAAAATTGATCTTACCTAGCTATAAGTACCATGTCATAGTTCTTCCTACTTTTTTACTATTTTATTTTGAATTTTTACCTTCTTTAAGAATCTGTTCCAAGTGGAGAAAATCAGAGTGTGGCAGGAGGTGATGAAGAAGCAGTAGATGAATACCAGGAGTTAAATGCAAGAGAAGAGCAGGATATTGAAATAATGATGGAAGGCTGTGAATATGCAATCTCTAATGCTGAGGCCTTTGCAGAAAAATTATCCAGAGAGCTGCAGGTGCTAGATGGGGTAAGACTTGCTTGTAATCTATGAATGAGTGATTCGTAGTAGATTAGAAGGCTGGTGATGTTCTTATTTTACTGCTTCGGCACTAAAGCCTTTATAGACAGCTTATTGCTGTCTTTATCTATAAGCACATTAGTAGTTGCCATCATTCTTGCACTGTTCTTATGCAAAAGACAGAGCCATTTCTATTAAGCCAATGAACGCAGTTGGCCGAGGTTCTGGATTTTGGGAAGTTCTTGATATGAAGTAGTGGAAGTAAAAAGTAGACAATCAGAAACATCTTGGGGGTTGATTGCCCCAGCCTCTGAAACACTTCAGAATAGCTCAGTGCCAAAGAATAGCATTTTTTTTTTGGTTTGAAAAAAAACAAGGATGAATTAGAAAGAATGTTGGCTGAAATAAGTGAATCATTTACCAAAAGGGAGCACAGTAAGTGTGGTGAAAACAGGAGAGCCAGGGAAAAAGATCTTTGACTTCTCCACTAAAATATTTTAGAATGGAGCCTTTTAAATTGTATGCACAGTTTCTGAGTCTGTAATATAAATGCATAGCACCACTTATGTGAGAGTAATCTAGAACAAATTATTTGGGTTTTTAAAATTTTGTTTTGTTTTGTTTTTACTAAAAGGTAAGGCCGGGCGTGGTGGCTCACGCCTGTAATCCTAGCACTCCGGGAGGCCAGAGGTGGGCGGATTGCTCAAGGTCGGGAGTTCGAAACCCAGCCTGAGCGAGACCCTGTCTCTACTAAAAATAGAAAGAAATTAATTGACCAACTAAAAATATATATACAGAAAATTAGCCGGGCATGGTGGTGCATGCCTGTAGTCCTAGCTACTTGGGAGGCTGAGGCAGGAGGATTGCTTGAGCCCAGGAGTTTGAGGTTGCTGTGAGCCAGGCTGACGCCATGGCACTCACTCTAGCCAGGGCAACAAAGTGAGACTCTGTCTCAAAAAAAAAAATAGAAAAAAGAAAAGGTAAGCATTTGAGAAATCCCTTATAGAATAAGGAACATTTAAAAGACTTTAAATTTTTGGTGTTTTATACATATAAGGTACAGAAATTAAAAGGGTCTAAATCAGGCCTAAAGAGATTATATGAATAATCCAGGCTTACAAATTTACAAAATGCACTGGAGACAAAGCCTAGAAGAGATTTCAAAGTGTCAAAGTGGAAATTGTGCTGGGCAGATTCAAACCCCAGTTCTGTTACTTAAGAGATATCAGTGGGTTCTGAGCCCTGCTGATTTCTAAGGTTGCTTGTTTTTACACCTGAATTACTATGAATAGTATATAAAATAATGTGTGAAGCCACAGCATCAACTGTACAATATTCTTTTAATTTCTTATCCAAATTTTTTAATCATACTATGTTACTTGCCACCTTAATATGGCTTAGTAATTTATATTTTCCATTCTAATTAATATTGTATATATGTCCCAAATCATCATATTGCTTTGCAATTTAATTTTGGATTGGGCAGTTTCCTTATTTCGGGGAATTCAGAATCAATAGTCAGAATCATTTAGAACTGTGGTCCCTAACCCCTAGGCTGTGGCCCATCACCAGTCCATTAGAAAACAGGCTGTGCATCACCACCTAAGCTCCACCACACACACACACACACACACACACACACACACACACACACACACAACACCCCACCCCCAATCCCCAGTCCATGGAAAAATTGTCTTCATGAAACCAGTCCCTGGTGCCAGAAAAGTTGGGGACCACTGATTTGGAAAACAGTGATAAGGGAATGAATGGCAATTCCTCACTACTTTGCCTGGTAAAAAAAAAAAAAAAGTTGCAGATGAGAGAGAAAAGAAAAAAGATAATAGAAGGCTCTATCTTTTGGCCACATGCTCTTCCATGTCCTATTAGTACCAATCACAGTACAGTTATAAATTAGTTTCAAAGTGGTATACCAGATTCAAAGATTGGTATACCACTGCTACCCTCTCAACTAAGGTATTATTAAAGTGACTGTGCTTTAATTTAGGGGTTCACATAGATATTAAGAAGAATAGAAAATTTCAATAGCTAGTAGAATTAGAAGATATGTTACAGATGACAATGGCCTAAGGCTCGTAAATTTCATAAGCATGTGCCATTACTGATGACATGTTCTGGGACAGAACACTACTTGTGTAGTCTGTGGAACTATAAAATACCGAAGCATGGTACCTAACCTTGATACTGAGGCAAGTGTCCCATCATGAAATACTGTTACAAAGTGGAGGAACATAAACATAAAGTGATAAACTAAAGTAGAAGGGTACATGTCTATCAATTTTTGTTGTTCAGCTTTCAAAGAGATTTAGCAACGTTTTGTCTTTATACTTCTTTCACACATTTAAATAACATGAGGTGTTTTCTTGTCTTTAACTGTGTAGGCCAACATCCAGTCAATCATGGCCTCCGAGAAACAAGTGAACATCCTGATGCAATTGCTGGATGAGGCTCTAAAGGAGGTGGATCAGATTGAGTTGAAACTGAGCAGTTATGAGGAAATGCTCCAAAGCGTAAAAGAACAAATGGATCAGATCTCTGAAAGCAACCACCTAATTCATCTTAGTAACACTAATATTGTAAAACTCCTGTCCGAGATAGAGTTCCTTGTGGTAAGTGTGAATTACCAACAACAACAACAAAAACTAACGACTATATATAAAACTCATTTGTAAACATTTCCTAATTTCCTTATGAGAGCAGGATTTTAAATAATTCCAAAGACCTAGTGATGGGATTGAGTAGCATCTTGTCTGTAAATTTCCCAAAATTACATGTGCAAATTGTATATTTGCCTGTATTCCAGAACCACATGGACTTAGCTAAAGGACACATAAAGGCCCTTCAGGAAGGAGATCTTGCTTCTTCCAGAGGTATTGAGGCCTGCACCAATGCTGCCGATGCCCTTCTGCAGTGCATGAATGTAGCTCTTCGACCAGGTATGTTCGCTGGAAATGATAACAATCTGACCAAGAATTTGAAACTAATCCTGTAACTTGGTATAAATATTTTGACAAGAAATGCATACGACAAGTGGTTTAGGTTATAATTATTAGCTACTCAAATAAGTTTCACAGATGTCTCAGCTTATTTCTGTTGACACTAAGAACTTTGTCACTTCAATTCCTTCTGATTGACCATCAATGACTCTATTTAACACCACGATCTTTCTTTAGTACTATCTGTAGAACCTAGCACAAAGTAGATGCTTTGGTTAGACCAGAGAGCATAAGGTTTTCCTAGGCCGTGGTTTCAAAACTTGAGTGTGCATCAGAATCACCTGGAGGGCTTGTTAAAACAGAGGTTGCCAGGCCCCATCCCGAGATTCAGTGGGTCTGGGCTGAGATCCTAGAATCCACGTTTCTAACAGCTCACAAGTGATGCTGAGGCAGGACCACACTTTGAGAACCACTGGGCTTAACAATTTTTCTCCTGCTTGCTTTTTATAAAGCAAATGAATAAACCAGTAAAACTGAGTTCTTCAAAACTTTGGTGTTTAATGTTTCATTAAACATCAAGGAAATCTCTGTACCCATTAAATCTGTCAAGAAACATCATTCTGTTTCAGGCCATGACATGCTTTTGGCGGTCAAACAGCAACAGCAGCGTTTCAGTGACTTGCGAGAGCATTTTGCCCGGAGACTGGCCAATCACCTCAACAATGTCTTTGTTCAGCAGGTAATTTTATTTTATTATTAAAACTGGCATGTTCCTGTAGTTTATTTACATATTACCTAAAACTTAAATTTCCACAGAAAAATTTAATGTGTTTAACTGAGGTTACAATAAATTTCTTTACACATTTATTTGATTTTAAGATTTTCAAATATGTGCTTATTTGCTTATAAATGTACTTTGGGCGTAGCTCCCTCCTTAGGCAGATAGTCTAATTCTTTTAGGCTGAAACTCTCTGATTCTAGAAATCATATAAATAACTACGTATCGATTGCATATATCATTTAGACATTTCTCATTTATAAAAGTAGGTCCAAACTTGTTATATATATATACTGTTGGACATATTTTATTTTTCAGTATTTTGAGGTGAGAAGCAGTACTTGACTCAGTGTTTTAAATGTTTCATAAGCTCTATGTACTTATATACATAGTGTACATATGAAAAAATGACTGTGGCTCAACTGCCAATTTCAGTTGATTTAATCTTTATATAAATGCTTTGCCTATGTTTTTATATGAAAAGGGATGTTATAATTAAGGATGTGGTAATAATGTTAACAATATTAAAAACACCTTAGAGGGATTTGAATAGAAAGCATTTTAATATCTAGTATAACGAAATAGGTTTCTTAAGTTTTTCATCTCTTTTATTCCTTTTATTTTATTAGGGTTATTTAGTGAAAAAAATTGAGGGGGGGATCTTGTTCATCAAGAAATGCTTTTTGAAAACATTGGATTCTTAGTTTTTACTTTGCAATATTCTGAAACAATTGTATTTACTGTATTTTATTTCCAATTAGTTTACTCAGGCCCTCCTTCAACTCTATAACAGGTCCTACTTTCTTTCGGTTCCTGTGAGTACATCAAATTTGGCTCAAGCTTCTCTAATTCCTTTTTATATTTTCTATAAAGTTTGCTAAATTTAACAGCAGCAGAATCTTTATAGATTATAACATAACTTACTGATTTAAGCTACCTGTTAACCACATTTGTAGCAGTTTTTTAATGGCCCATAGTAGTTAAGAGTTTATTTTGGTTAAAAAGGCATTTAATCTCATTCTGCTTGCCTTTCTTTCTGTGATTTTTTTCACCCATTTATTCTTTCATTTATTTAGGAATCATTTATTTGCCAGGTGATTGAGGTACATACAAGACATTGACTTGGGGTAAATGAGAGGCTGACCTTGCCCTTGAGTAGCTCACAGTCTAGGGAAGGGAGACAGGTAAATATACTCAGGAAGGATAAATGCTGATAGTGGTACTGTGGGAACATAAAGGAAGACTAGCTCACTAAAGCATGGGAGGGGGAGGTCAGGGAAAACTCAACATTTCACTTGACCTGAAAAGTGTCAAGAAAAAAGTGAACTTAGAATTACATAGGAAATACTAATTTACATTTTGCTAGCAGTATTATTTCAGTAACATGTATTCCTACACAGTTCCTTAGTTTTTAAAAATGACACTATTGACAATGAATTATCCACATTTGAAAATACTAGATGATAAAAAATCATCCTTTCTGTACCCTTCACTGTTTAACATGCAGTTATTTATGATTTTGCTTCTTTGCTTTGTAAACTAATAGCTTTGTTTTGAAATGAATGCTTCCCATTTCTGAAAATATAATATGTATTGTTACATGTGAGTGATGCATGTTAAAAACCTGAATGCTACAACAACCTAGGATATGCTGAAGAAGGTGGAAGCGGGTATCCCCACGTGTAAGAAAGAGGTGTTTGTTCTGTATGTTGACTTCAGTGCATCAGATTACCTACCAAAGGAGTCAGGAAACATGGGTATTTCTGTTCCTGGTTGGGAGAAAAACTAGCTGGGAAAATTTGATTAACGTATTATGATACATCTCTTTGTCAATCATGAAATTTTTATTGTTTGCCCATTGTATACTCACTGTTGTCCATATGTAAGAATACGAAATGGCTCCTGCCCTTGAGATGCTTATAAGGAGGAGTTAAAACTAATGTACTTAAAGCTCTGCGGCAATTATATAATACTGTTGCTAATTGTATTATGGATTGTAAGTGCTAAAGAGGCTTAATCAAAAGTGAGTTTACTGAGGTTTTAAGGAGTCAAATATAGAATCGCAGATAAGGTAGGATTGGAACGAAGTCCATGCAGTACAGTTTATAGAAAATGTATAGTTATTAGAACATTTATAAATATTGTATGGAAGAATCCAGTGAAAATAATCTATTGATCGCAACATAGCAGTAATTGAAGAGAATTGATTCCCAGTCTTTTTAAAATTCACAAATCAGTAAAGCTAAAAGAAATAAAATTTGGAGACTCACCCAGTCACCCAATATTTTATTTTATAAAGTAAAGAGACCTTTAGAAAGAAATACTGCCATCTGCTTTCACGATCTTTTCATTTTAAAAATGACACTTTGGCACTAAAGGAGTAGGAAGAACTTACTCTCAGACTTTAAAAATTAATACATTTACTTTTTTGAGAAACTCACTCCCTTAATTTTATTTTTCATATATTGCTATAAGCCAGTAAAAAAAAAAAATTGCATTTGGGAATCACTGATCCAGAGCATGCTACCTATGCAACTTTCATATTAATACCTCTGCATTTCTATACTTCAGTGAAACTTGAAATGCATTTTTATGTAATATTCACTTCTCACTATAGTATTAGAGTAATGTTTTTAACAGGTGGCAAGCTTCTTTTGGATCTTTTAGATCTCATACATTCCGCTTCCACTGAAATGATCTTACTCATAATTTTTACATTTACTAGGGGTTTGTGTGTCTTGAAGGATATTCAGCCAAGAGAATCTGGCCAGTTATACTAATTAGGATTATGATATTGAAAGCAGGCAGTCAAATTAAGGCTAATGAAATTCAGGAAATATTTGCATAAAAAATATGTCCTTTTGAAAATTCTTGTTTTTGAAAGATTTGTTTTGAAAGGATAACTGCTGTCAGCTCACTTTTTTTTTTTTTTTTTGGTTCAGAGACCTCATGATTCTTTACTGTCTTTAACAACATGATGAGACTGATTATGCAAATAACTTAGAGAAAATGAAAATGAACTAAGATGCACTGACTTAAAAATACAACCAGAAAAAAAGTGAAGTTGTGGAATTTTTTGCTACAAGCTTAAGTTTGGAAGTTTTCTTTCAACATATATTTACAGGAAGATCATATAGTAAAATAAAACCTGTGTAGTAGACCATTAATACTCAATTCATTTTACAAAAATTATTTCCTTAAGCACATGTCACATTTTCCTAACCACAGATTGATCTCTGGTTAAAAAGCTAGAGAAAGAATTAGGATTAAGATCTGTTCTCATGATATTCATTGTAACTTTGCTCAGAGTTTTTTCTTTAGGAAAACAAAAATAAAAGTGATAATATAGTATCTAATATATGCGAGATTCTGTAGAATCCTGATCATTCTTGTTATGTGGCAATTAAAAAACATTAATGTGATGTTTATATTGACCTTTAGCAACTACAGAGATGGATAATGGTAATACCTGTGTGTTTTGTTTAATATTAATTTTGTTCATGTTTATTGTTAGCCTTTACAGAAAAGATATGGGTGCCTAGGCATTCTGAATATGAGAATTGTTCCATTTTTCAACACTGTAGCTCTTAGTCCTCGTTGATTCTGTTTGAAGATGTGATTTTTCTATATTCATTTAACCATCTAGAAAAGAACATCCACACAGGTCCATTCTCTCTTATCCAAAACTATTGGAGTTAATTGTGTTTTTAGAGTTTTTCAGATTTTAGAAAAGTAATACTGTTGTATATATGCTGTGTATTATATAATCATTCCAATCAAGCACATAATGTTTCTGCAGCAAAAAAATAGGAATAGTTACTCTAAACACTGTAAATAGACCCATGGCAGGTCAAGTCAGGTTTCACCAACAAAATAGTTTAGGTACCAAGCTTAAACTGAATTTTCAGAGCTTTTTGGATTTTAGAATTACAGGAAGGAATTATGGATGTGTATACAGTTGTATATAACATCTATGATGGCTGTGAACTTCCGTTGTCTCTATATTCTCATTCTTGTTATTTTGAATTGGTTAGTCAGTTTTATGATACTTTTCTGCTGTCTCTAGTTCAGTTTCCCAAGTTAACCTAAGTAGGTATCAATAAGGCGAATCTGAGAAGTGTATGTATTGTTCTATACCATTTTATATATAATGTCTGTATAATGCAAGGGTCCTCAAACTTTTTAAACAGGAAGCTAGTTCACTCTCCCTCAGACCATTCGAGGGCCAGACTATAGTTTAAAAAAAACTATGAACAAATTCCTATGCACACGGCACATATCTTATTTTGAAGTAAAAAAACAAATGGGCAAAAACACCTGCATGTGGCCCGCGGGCTGTAGTTTGAGGACGCCTGGTTAATGGATCTTTTCTTTTTTTAATTTCCATTTTGAATTGGGGATATAGTCTCACATGAAGGAAATCTTCCATCAGATTGATTTAAAAACTTTAATGAAGAAGGGACTCAGATAGTGATGGAAATAGTATTGGGTGTGTCTTATACTTCCATCTTTCTTGCTCTAACGGTACTCCTCAATTACTAGGAAACTCTTCATTCCTTTAGGTCAGAAATTTTTCTTTCTGGATACTCAGTATTTAAAAGAAATTTTTTTAAAAAATCCACAACCACTAAGTTTGTATTTTGTCTATATAGCAAAGCACATACACTAGATGAAAGAAATCTCTTTTAAAGAATTTATTCTGATTCAAGCACAAGAGACAGAAAAAAAATAATAATTTAAATTCTTTAAATTCAAGATGCTTATTAAGCTAATGTATATCAACTAGTATAATACATATTCATAATTAGCTTTAAGTAATTTTACCAGGAAATGAGTTAACCAACCCCCAAATCCCATCAGTCTGTCATTTTAATAGAGTTTACACAAAATACTAAGAAATAACTTCTGACTATCTAGGGAAATCAGATTGAGAATGGCTTCGAATAAATCTATCTTGTTTTGCCCTTTGCTTGTTATTGGGAAATTAGGTTTTCAGGGGAACCTACTCTTTTATCTTTCAACTCCCCGTCTCTTGGACACAAGCTTTGAGTCCTATGACAAATGTTGACCAAGTAGCAGAGAAGGAGAACTAGACAGTTTCAAAAGAAAACTGGGAAGATTTTTTTAATATACCAATAACTAGTAGTCTGGTTAAAACAATTTCATATGACAGGTTTTTAAAAGATAACACAAGTGAGACACAGATGACCAAGGTTCCAATTCTAGTTTTCTTCCTATGTGGCATGAGCAAATAACTCAGTCCTTTGAGACTCAATTTCTTCTTCCGGAAAATAGGATTATTAGATCTGATGATCTACCAGGTCTGTATTTTCCAAAAGCAAAAGTCAAAATACATCATCTAAAGCTGTTTGTTAACTTATTAATTTACTCATGTAAAAGTCTTATTAAAGTTAAAAAACAAAATTATGAATAGTTATTTATTTCACAAAGCACTTTAATGTAAAAATTTAAATTACATTATTATTAAGGATTATCATGGAAAGCCTGGATATAGCCAGCTATGGTGTTTCTGAACTCTAAAATTCTATGTTTTTATCTGTTGTTTTAAATAGTGTAGACTCTAGTAGGAGTACTGTAAATGTAGACCATTTGAATGACTTCCCTATTTGTTGTATTTCTTAATTCAGTCAGTATCAAGAAGTTCATTTGCTTAGTAAATTATAAAATGATATGGTATGGAAGAGATAACCGTGATTAAAGCATTCATTCTCAACTCCTTTAGAAGATGGAGTGAATAGTTGATTTATCAGAGTGCCATTCTTGTGTGTTTATGATTACTTTATGGTAGTGGTTTTCAATTACTGGATGATGAAAGTAAACAAGTAAGTATTTGTTTTTTATTTTTCTATGTTCTGTTGGTTTTGCTTGGCCACACTTGGTCATTGTTTAGAATTTTCAATTGTAACAATGTCTCTTTGTACTGTTAATGATATTTATTTACATATTTACTCACTCTAGGGTCATGATCAGAGTTCAACTCTCGCTCAACATTCTGTTGAACTGACTTTACCCAATCATCATCCATTTCATAGAGATTTACTCCGCTATGCCAAGCTGATGGAGTGGCTAAAGAGTACAGATTATGCAAAATATGAGGGACTGACAAAGGTATGGGTTTGACATCAGTTATACTCACTTCATATAAAGTGTAGTCTTTTAGAATCAAAATGTCATGTATGGGAAATTAGGAGGTGGGGGGGGGGAAGGGTCGCGTGTTCAGTTCCCCAAATTTGAAATACTCTTTAGCATGTTCTTAGCAAAGCAGAAAACGATGGAGTTTCTTAGTGCTCATTAACCAGGCATAATATTTATTTTACTTACTTAGATAAAGAAGAGCTAAATTTTGAACTTCAATATAAGATAGTATTAAGCCATACTGTAGCCTAAGGCACAATTCAGTTTTGTTAAATGCTCTGATTATTTCCTGAGTTTCTTTATGTACAATATAGAAACTAGGAAGTGTGAAGACATGTGAGTGAGATATTTGCCCTCAAAGAATTTATAATCTGTTCTACAAAGAAAATACAAAATGCCTCTTTATTAAGCAAATATTCCACTACTCCAGTTACCTGGGGCCTAACAAACAAGCTGCTACCTCTAAAGAGCCTTAAATCAGACTAGGAAGAATCATACATAAAACAATCAGCAAAAAATTAAGACTAAACTGGAAATGAGTTTAAATATGTGGCCGTTTAGAGGAGGGAAATTCATGTCTGAAGCCGTGGGTGAAACATCATGGAAGATACTGGTCTACAATTGAGGTGTTTTTTTTCTTTTTTTTAGAGACAGGGTCTCATTTTCACCAGTTGTAGCTCACTGCAGCCTTGAACTCCTGGGCTCAAGTGATACTCCTGCCTTAGCCTCCCAAGTAGGTAGACTCCATAGTCAATTGAGTTTTAAATAATGAGTGCAATTAGATAAACCAGAAATAAGAGGAAGGGCATTCCAGGGATGGGGTGCAAGGTGTGCAGATAAAGCCAGGAAAAATATGCCTTTGTCTAGGGCAACGAGGAGGGCATAAGAAAGGGGACATAAACTCTGGTAAAATAAATAATATTTAAAATTATAACTTGAAAAATACTTTTAAAAAATTTATCTTCTGAAGTATTTATATACATCTTATGTGGCTAGCTATTTTAGGTAAAGTTATTTTTGTTCCTCAGATTTAGTTTATGAAATGTTATGCAACTCTATTGTTATATTTTGTTTTGATTTCATTCAACAGAATTCTGATTTAGAAATATCTTAAGGAAAAATATTTACATTCCTGGAATTCTTTGCCTTTTGGAGTTTTAGGAGGATTAATATTTTGAATAATTAATCATAAATTATATCTCCTCAAGATTTCTGTGCCAACAAGTGCTTTGTCCCCTAGTGAATATTCAAATAAGTAATCAATAAGCTTTTTGCCTAATTGTGTTCTCTGTATTATTGCTCTATCTTTATATATAATGCAGCACTCATGAATGTAATTTAAAGTGAAGAAACAAGACTATAGCCAACCTAGTGATGATTTATGGAATTATTCTCTGCTCAGGGTATATTTTTGATTGTCAATATTAGTGAGCTTTTTAGGTGAAATTGACTTTTTCCCAGGAATGTTACTTGATCCTGTGGTTTGAGCTTTTGACAAATTATGTGTTTTTTACCTCATAAACTAATTTGGTGGCTGCAGTGTTGCCAAAGACAGGAATTTCATAAAAAAAAGAAAAAGGAAGGAAGAAAAGAACGAAAGAAGAAAAGAAAGAAGGCAACAAACAAACCAGTATTTCTGTAGTGAGAAATATTTAATTAAATCCAAGGAGCTATTTGCGCTTGGTTGGGTATACACAGTTCACACTTTTTGACAGGAACAGGAAAAAATCTGTTCCAGATTCTTTAGGAATAATAATTATTAGTACTGCCCCCAGCTGAATGTAAGCAAAACCCTGACTTTTGGTATGCATAATTAGAGCCTGTGGAAACAGAGGTAGCTCAACTGCCCAGATTCCTTCCTCCCTAGGACTGCTGCTCCTCTTTGCAACTCTGGGATGTGCAGGTAGGGCAATTAGTAGAGAGGGTCCATCCTGCTTGGGTAGGACCCAAGCTTTCCTCTTCTAATAACCTCCTGAGAATGAGAGTCTTGAAGATTACTCAGGTGTCTTCTCTCAACCGGAGTTCCACATTTGTAGAATTCATCTTACTGTCTATAGAAAAAGTAAAACGTGGAGGTCTCTGGAAGACTCTATAGTTGGCACAAAATAAAATTGGAAAGACTGCTCAGGATAACAGTATTTAAACTCAAGAGAGTTAAATGTTAAGTTAGGTGCTGTATACAAGGTGCTAAGAGGAATCTATACTTACAGTGAGGGCCATCTTTTAGTATTCGTTAAATGAATGAACTGATACAGTAATACCTATGTGTGGCCTTTGCCATCAGTGAGTTCTATTGAGTACCAGAAAAAAGGTATCTGGTCATTTGAGTCCCATTGAAAAAGTGAGACAGCCCAGTGAAATAGGAATTTTAAGGTAGATTTTAATTTACATGTGCTTTTAAAGTTGTGTGAAGATCGTGGGAAAGAATTGCTCATTCGATTGGCCTGTAGAGTTGCTGAGAGGGCTCGAGGGGAGGGCTGGTATCTCAGAAAGTGCCTGACACACTAACCAAGCTGAGTTTCCTATGGGAACAATTGAAGTAAACTTTTTGTTCTGGTCCTTTTTGGTTGAGGAGTAACAATACAAATGGATTTTGGGAGTGACTCAAGAAGTGAAGAATGCACAAGAATGGATCACAAGATGGAATTTATCAAACCCTAGCCTTGTTTGTTAAAAAAATTTTTTTTAAATATCTGTAATGGTACTGACTTTGCTTGCTTTGAAGTAGCTCCTTAATTTTTTTTGCAGTAACTGTTAGTTTTTTAAGTCTCTCATAGTGTTAAGTTATAGTGAATACTGCTACAGCAATGTCTAATTTTTAATAATTGAGTAATGATGTAGAACACTAATTCATAATCACTCTAATTGTAATCTGAATAAAGTTTAACATTGTGTAGCCTTTTTGTATAAAATACATAAATAGAAATGGTCCAATTAGTTTCCTTTTTAATATGCTTAAAATAAGCAGGTGGATCTATTTCATGTTTTTGATCAAAAACTTTGAGATATGTATGGGTAGGGTAAATCAGTAAAAGGTGTTATTTGGAACCTTGCTTTGGACAGTTTACCAGTTGGCTTTTATCCCAAAGTTGTTGTAACCTGCTGTGATACAATGCGTCAAGAGAAAATGCAGTTATAAAGATGGTTCAGAATTAAACTTCTAATTCATTCGAAAAAAAAAAATGAAAATTGCTCATTCGACTAAGTTTTCTTATAGAGACTATGTGAAAAGTGTATGTGACTTACAAGTTTAAAAAGGTCAAGATCTATATTATGCTTGGTCAAAATACTATTTTATAGGGATATAATATAAAATAATCTAAGAAAAGCAGTGGTGAACTATGAGTCAATATACAAGTATTTACATAATATGTACCTTTTGAAAGGTGCACCTCATCTGTAAAGCAAGGTAAACCTGTTCTAAAAGCAGTTATATTAATTTAAAATAATAAAAGAAGTTAAAATTTAGATTCCATGATAAATTTAAAAGCTAGGTACAATTTTTCTGCTGCGGTTTTATTTGAATGTAGTCAAACTTGTGGATGGCATTTAACTTCGGACTCAGAAAAATACATGATCTTCCACTGTCGAACCCTTCTTGAGAGTGTAAGATGCTTTTATGTGATAAAAAGCAGATACGATGAAGAAATGAGTCTGTATGCTAAATAATAGATGATTTTATTTAAGCAAGCATTAATCAAATGTTTTAAGAAAATAAATTATTTAATTTTGAAAACTGTGAGGTATACTAATTAAATTCTCCCTGAAAATAACCTGTGTTGGGGTAATACCCCAAGCTGACAAAGGCTCAGTGAAACAAACTGTTCTCCTTCATTGCTACTGATGCTGTTTATCATCAGTGTATAACCATTTTTAAAGCAATGTGGCAATATGGAGAAAGAATCATAAAGATTCCGTACTCTTTTTGACCTCATAATTCCACCCTTAAGAAATTATTGCAAGGAAACAAGTCATTAGAGATGAAATCTTACCATAACATTGTCTGTCTTAGCAAAACATTGAAAGCACTTCCGTGTCCTATGTTAGGGACTTGGTTTACTAAATTATGGCACATCAACAAAACAGAATGCTGTGCTGTCATTACAGCATGAGACTGGAGAAATCTGATTGCTCTGATTCAGATATCCTATATTATATGATTGCAATGATAATTAAAATATGCAAAAGATAATATAGAAAAGTGAAAATATAAGTATGGTTATGTTTGACTTCATATTTTTATAAATTGTTATGATGCCTATTCAGTTTTTTTAAGTCAGAAAATAGCCTACTCTGTAACTTATGAAATGCATCAGAGTTTTGGACCACAAAACTTAAATTAAGCACAAAGAATTTGGGGAGGTAAAAAATGGAAATTGTTGCATGTGTTTTATTAATAAAAAGTGTGTCTTTTATTTTAAGAATTACATGGATTATTTATCCCGACTCTATGAAAGAGAAATTAAAGATTTCTTTGAAGTTGCAAAGATCAAGATGACTGGCACAACTAAAGAAAGCAAGAAGTTTGGTAAGCTTAGGCATGTCAGTTCATTGTCTTCCTATTAAAAATGATTTTATTTATGACAATTCTAAGACTTTTAAGCAAGGTGGAAGAAGATACAGTAGAATTAATGAAAGAAGAGGTCTAATATATTGGCTTGGCTTATAGCTGTTTCATGTAAATATTTTTCTACAAATTAAAATACAACAGGAGAGTGTGAATATTACAGCAATTGTGCTTTCATGCTATAATTAAAAAGATATATTCATAGGAAAGGCAGTTGGTGAGAAAAACAAGAGCAGTCAAGTAGAGCAAGTATTAGACTGAGAGACAGATGTTGAGAGTTCAGTTTCTGATTCCCTAAAAGACCTTTTATAACAGCTGGGGGCAAGTCACTGATCTCTTAAGTCATTGCTCTCCACAGAGAAATGAAAGTGATTCCTGGCTTCTTACTTCTCACTGGCTGTTTTCAATCAAAAAGAAAGTTTGTTTCCTCCCCTACCAAGGGGCTATAAAACTCACCAAAATTTCTCCTGTGATTATACCTGATTTTTCTAAAGAGATGTTTTTGAAACGTGTTAATTTTTGTTGCTTCTAAATACTTGAAATGCACAAAAACGTAAAGAATAGCCAGCGAAAGTATCAAGTTATGAGGAAGGTGATTTGCCGAGGCCACATTCTGCTCTTGCATGTACCCATCTCCAAGTTCCTTTTGGATGGAGTTCTGTGCCTATTCAAGTCAAGACCTGGCCTTAAGTGGCTACATTGTGTACTCCTTAGTGTGTCTGCCTAGCTCCCCTTTAGAATAATGAGTTTAGCATTTGCTTGTTGAAAGGAGCCTATTCCCCAAGCAACTTCAGTTCATCAGGAAACACAATTGAAAATGGATAGCACATGTTTCCATTCTTTAGGCTGGGGTGACTGTCTTTAGTGGGTAATTATTTTGTAATTCACTGGGTTTTTTTTTTAAATGCAACATTAATATATTGATTATACTAGTCCAGACATTTGAAACAGATTGAATTTGTGTATAAATATACGGCCCTTTGGTAAAGATACTGATATACTTGGGACAATAGGCTTTTGGAAATAGAAATGCTAACTCATCCTAAAGGTTAATTGTTCTTAAACAGCAGTGTGTTTATATCCTTGTTAATGTTTCACTGTGGATATGTTATGCTTTTTTTTGAGTAAACAACCTATTATTAACGCAGTTACATGTTTAATGTTTTCATTAAGTATTTTTGTCACCACTTGTTAGTATACCATTTTATTTTGAGAGAATTCTTCTTCAGTATATGAAAAATGGAGGTAAAAGAGAAATATTTCTAAAATTATCTTCTGAGTAGGCCATTAATCCCAGTATCATTACATAATAGTTTATCAAGTCTAAGATTCACATTAAGATAAATGAAATAATAAAAATATAACAAATAAAGTGCAGTAGTATCTTAATGGTATCATTGCATAACCTAAAACTAAATTTTGTCTTTGCTTACTCCTTGAGATGTTCTTAAATTATCTTGTTAAAAATATTTTTAATTCACATAATACAGGTTTGGAAGCCACTTTTATAATTTTAAAAGTGTTAAAATTACATCTCTTTTATGTATCTATTAAGTAGTAAGGAATAGGAGAGTAATTTATGACAACTGATGGCATAGAAAATTATAGTATCAATTATTTTGATATCAGCTACCAGAGAAGAAAAACTAAACAATTCAGAGGATAAAAATAGTTTGGCTTATTTTTGAAGCTCTAACTTGTTAGTCCACATTTTAAAAATAAATTTCAAGTTAAATACAAATGACTTGAGAAGTTCTGAATAAGGTAGAACATACAGTTTTTCAAAGATATCTTTTCAGTGTTTCAAATTAAATGAATTTTTAATAGGACAGATGGTCCCTAACTTACAATGGTTTGACTTAATGATTTTTTTTTGACTTTACAATGGTGCGAAAGCCATACACATTCAGCAGAAATCATACTTCAAGTACCGAAACAACCATTCTGTTTTTCACTTTCAGTACAGTATTTAGTAAATTACATGAGATAGTAAATATTATAAACTAGGCTTTGTGTTACATGATTTTGTCCAACTGTAGGCTAATATAAATATTCTGAGCACATTTAAGGTAGGCTAGACTAAGCTATGATGTTTGGTGAGTTAGGTGTATTAAATGCACTTTCGATTTACAATATTTCCAATTTACAATGGATTTATGTAACCTCATTGTAAGTTGAGGATCATCTGTAATTATAATTAAAATAGAAACTGTAAACTTTGGAAATATAACTTTTCAGTGAATCAAAATTAAGTAACTTTAAATGAAATTTAAATTTGTTTTGCTTTTTACTTGCTCCTAAAATTCTGGTACCCAGATGCTGATAAGAATAGTCAGAATGAATGTATCTTAATAAAAGGAAACAATATAGTCAATATAGTAATAGAGAAACAGTGTAATAGTCTCTTTTTGAACTATTCTTGACTCAGATTTTTAATATCTACTTAGTTCAAATAATTCAGAATATGTTAAAGTGCCAAGAAAGTATCTTTTCTTTTGATAAAGGTTCTATACAGCAACAGAATCCTCCATGCAACCAAAAGAAGTCTTTAGGTTCTGTTTTTTTTTTGTTTGTTTTTTTTAAGCTGGAGTCTTGTTCTGTGGCCTGGCTACAGTGTAGCCTGGGCTAGAATGCAGTGGTTTAATCATTGTTCACAGCAGCCTCAAACTCCAGGCTCGAGAGATCCTCCTGCCTCTGCCTCCCAAGTAGTTGGGACTACAGGCATGAGCTACCACACCTGGCAAATTTTTCTATTTTTTGTAGAGACCTGGTCTCACTCTTGCTTAGGCTGGTCTCAAACTCCTGGCCTCAAGCGATCCTCCCACCTCTGCTTCCCAAAGCGCTAGAATTACAGGCATGAGCCACTGCACCTGGTCTAGTTTATGACCATTTTTTATTTATTTATTATTATTTTTTGAGACAGAGTCTTGCTTTGTTGCCTAGGCTAGAGTGAGTGCCGTGGCATCAGCCTAGCTCACAGCAACCTCAAACTCCTGGCCTCAAGCAATCCTTCTGCATCACCCTCCCCAGTAGCTGGGACTACAGGCATGCACCACCATGCCGGCTAATTTTTTCTCTATATATTAGTTGGCCAATTAATTTCTTTCTATTTATAGTAGAGACGGGGTCTCACTCTTGCTCAGGCTGGTCTCGAACTCCTGAGCTCAAGCAGTCCTCCCACCTCAGCCTCCCAGAGTGCAAGGATTACAGGCATGTGCCACTATCCTGGCCAACTGTTTTTTATTAATAGGTTTATTTTGATATTCTCAGAGGCATGTAATTTTTCTCCACAGGATTGATATTTTAATGTTTTTTCTTTGTATTCTACAAATATATTTAATGAAATGACAAAGGAAATTTAGTAGTTATTTTTTAAATCATGTTTTTTCTTTCTACAGGTAATATTATATATATCATATATGTGATATACATGAGATTTTAGGCCCTTAATATGTACATTTACACAATTATTGCACTCCCTCCTATTTAATATTCCAAAATCTTGAAAATGGTGGCCAAAATTATTTTATCATTCTTTCTCAACTAAACTAAAAGATCTTGTTGATTCCAAAGGGAGTCTTGAATACAAGGCTGAATTCAGGGATGGCTGAAAGATTAATTCAATAAATATGTATTAATCACGTATTATATAATAAGCACTGGTTAAGTGCTGGGAATACAGCAATGAACAAAAACCCTACCCTTAAGCTTATATTCTAATGGGAATTATTTAAAGATATTCAACATTTTACCTATTTATTATTGCTTGTTGCTGATAAATGATATAGACTGTTTTTATGAGCCCAAAATTATAGTTAATAGGTACTACTACTAAGTGTGTGTTCTTTATTAGCTACTAAAAAAAAAAAAAAGCTATATGAAATGTTAGGCTTTGCTCTGGACCTTGTGCACCTAGCTTAGTGACACCTTAAGGCCACTAGAAAGTATTGTTCAGATCGGCTGGCATGATCCCTGGCTGCCACTTTAATGTCTAGCCTTGTTGTTTTATATTCCCTTAAGCTTCAGCTAGCCAAGGCTGGGAAGATATACATGTCACTAGTGTGACAAGTTGGTAGCTTGTATTTGGGCTTTTGCCTTAACATTTGGCAGGGACAGTGTGAGTTGACACATCATTCTCTGTTTTTAAGGCATTTTTAGATTATAATTGTATTTTTAAATTTTCTGTTTCATCCTTAGATTTCTTTCTTTGCCTTTCACATCAACTTCTAATTTCAGTTTAGAATGTTTCACAAAATGAGCTCTAACATTGATCTAGTAAATATATATAGAGAGGTTTTAGAATGAAAGAAATGCCAAATGACCCTAAAGGCATTCAAATTCTTGTATCTGTTCCCTTGCCTTTACCCTTCCATCCACACAGCTCCTGATTGTTAGTATTATGATCTATACCTTTCATTCTGAGTGTTCACAAAGCCACTTACTAAGTAACTAAGCTTGATAATTGGTTTTAATATTAAAATGATTTTAAAGCCCCTAATTTTTTTTTATTAGATGCAGTATAAAATTATTTAGTGCAGTGGGGATTCCCTTCAGGATCTTTCAGGGAATATAAGATTGTTGATTCAAAATCTACAACTTCATTCTAATAAATTTCCACTGTATTAAATTGTTTACTTGAATTAATTTCTCAGGAAGCCAAAACTTACAAATTCAGTCTTTTAAATTTAAGTGTACCAGCTTATAAACTTTAAAAAAATTTTTTTTTAAGTGTGGGGTGGGGGTTACAAATAGAGATATTTTTACCTGAATGCTCGAGTAAAAACAATACATTAAAAGTAAATTTTTTTCTGTCATAGAATTTCTCAAACAGCTGACCCACTAAACATGTGTTTGCCCCTCTCGTTACTTGATGTTCATGGTTCTTTGCATGTGTCTTTTAAACTAGAGCTTTAACTTCCTCTTGTGCATGGTTTGTGCAAATTGCAGTTTATTAACTTGTCTTTGTCTTTGATGCTTGCAACCTAATCCATCACAGCTACACTGCCTCGAAAAGAAAGTGCTGTCAAACAAGAAACAGAGAGTGAGTATGCTTAGTGTACTAGCAGGTATTCTCAATGCATGTTTGTTAAATGTCTAGAAATCAGTTATTTGTCTTAAAAAAGTTAACACCAAGAATATTGATCACTCTGGATTGCCAGGTATTGGTGAAAGAAAACCAACATGATGGTAGTGGTACAGCTATATCCAAGAAATATGTAATATGGTTAAAATTATTTGGTGAGTAGTAGAACCTTGTGTCAGAAATTTATGAAAAGACTTAACCATTATACTTCTGTTTTCAGGCTGTGCTTAGGAAATCTATAAAAATCCTTATAGACTTGGTCAGATTTTGCATTAATGAAGCCAAAGTTTGTCTTTAATTATCCCTATTAAGTCTTCATTTGTCCCTTCTGACCATTAGCAAATAGTTAACTGAGAAATACTCAAGAAGAATGTCTTTAAAATGTTTTATATTGCTTATATTTAATTCTGAATTTAAAAATCACATTTTCTTCTAAAAATTGAATGTTATTATCTCTTGATGTATGTGGGATATTGTCCCACCATATGTTCTCATTTTTTCCCCATGTCTATGATGGATACCTAAATTCTACCTAAAAACAGATGTCCCATATTAATATGGTTAGTGATATATGTATTACATTTCAGTTGTATTTTAAATATAACAAGTTTTCAGGGTGTTTTTTTTCTGTTTAGTTTTTAAAGGACTATAGTTAATCAGTTCACTTATTGGAAAAACAGAGTTTCTGAGTTCAGAACAGGTTACATTGAATATAATTGACTTTTTTTTGGTAGGGCAAAATAATCAAGTATGGGCAGTTTTCTCTGGTTCAACTTAATATATCGATTTAATGTGGAGGCAAGTAACATTGGGATATTGCTATTTTCTTCCAAAGTACAAGGAAGTCATATTAGCTAGTGTGGTAACACTGTACTCAGTAACCCTCATTCGTATTCTTGTCATTTGAATGGGAAAGAAATCCTCACGTACTCTAGTCTAGAGATATCCCCAGGCAACTTTATGATGGTACTGGGCAGGACATAAATTATGTGACCTTTAAGGTCCCTTTCAGTGCTATTCCACAGATCTATATAGTTTTGCTTCCCTTTATAAAGATGCTCAGAGTAGGACACAAATATTAATGAGTGATGAGGACAGTGAACAACCTGTCCATGTGGTAGACTTGTGCACTAACGCATACGAGCCCTGCAACACCAAGCCAGTAGAAGATAGAGGAGACAGACCTGACTTGTACCCTGGATCTTTTATTCGTGAAGATCACAACTTTCAAAGTTTTATTATTTCTTAGGTCTTCATGGAAGTTCAGGGAAATTAACTGGATCTACTTCTAGTCTAAATAAACTGAGCGTTCAAAGTTCAGGAAGTCGCAGATCTCAGTCATCTTCCTTGTTGGATATGGGAAATATGTCTGCCTCTGATCTCGATGTTGCTGACAGAACCAAGTTTGATAAGGTAAAATAAAATAACAAGTACTTCTTAAACAGTAACAGTAGTTTTCTTTTTCCAGCAGCAGTTTGTGATTGCTTTAAGTTCAAAGATTTGGACTCTTGGTTCTCTTAAATATTAACCATGACTTACTTTGGCCAATTCCGAATGGAATCTGAAAAAAAAAATGTACTACTCAATTGGCAACTGAAATGGGAATTGTCAATTAAATAACATTAAAGCTTTATTAAAATGTATTTGTTATAAATCACAGTGTTGGCATCTCAAATCTAAGTCATTTGAGCAACTGCAAAGTAGAGAGAAAATAACAGCTCTTGGGAAGCAAATAAGTTTTAAAAGCTTAACTTTGTGTTCCTCTTTCCAGATTTGAAGTGAATATCTGTGAGTTTTATTTTAGATATGTTCTATGGCCCTGTTCTACATTGCCCTATCAATGTTAGAAGGGTTTGTCTTTGGGATTCTATTGAAATTATAGATCCATGGGCCCTGCTGAAAAGAGAATTTAAGTTTGAAATGTTTTTTTAAGCATTTGGTGCAGTTCTTTTTTTTTTTGATTGGCTACATCTGTGGAAAGGTGCAGTTCTTTTATTATGGGATCATTTTGGTTTTCTTCAGATCTTTGAACAGGTACTGAGTGAACTGGAGCCCCTATGTCTGGCCGAACAGGACTTCATAAGTAAATTTTTCAAACTGCAGCAACATCAAAGTTTGCCTGGAACTATGGTATGGCTCACTTTTATTTTGGCTAGTATTTATGACCTAAATAATATGTGATCACAATTTCATTATCAGAACATAAAAGAATTTATGATGTAAGAATTTTTAAAACAATTTTCATGATACCACATGACAATAAAAACAGTGATAATTGAAGTTTGGGCAGCTATTAAAAATTTAATATTGCAGAATGTCATAAACCCAAACATTTTCTAAATTAGGTGAAAAAAAATGTCTAAGTTTACTTTGCAAAGAATATTATTTAAAAAGCAATTTTAACATTTTAGTAGTTATCAGGCCAGGTGCAGTGGCTCACGCCTGTAATCCTAGCACTCTGGGAGGCCGAGGCGAGCGGATTGCTTGAGGTCAGGAGTTTGAAACCAGCCTGAGCAAGAGCGAGACCCCGTCTCTACTATAAATAGAAAGAAATTAATTGGCCAGCTAATATATGTATAGAAAAAATTAGCCGAGCATGGTGGCGCATGCCTGTAGTCCCAGCTACGTGGGAGGCTGAGGCAGAAGGATCACTTGAGCCCAAGAGTTTGAGGTTGCTGTGAGCTAGGCTGATGCCATGGCACTCACTCTAGCCTGGGCAACAAAGCAAGACTCTGTCTCGAATATAAATAAATAAATAAACAAACATTTTAGTAGTTATCAAGAAAAAATTAAAAAAAAAAGATTATGTTTGAGTGTGTATACCACAGTATAGCAAAAAAAAGAAAAGAAAGTGAGGCCTCAGATCTGAATGTGAATCTTTCTTATGGCTTTGTTACCAACTAGCTATGAGATCTTAAACTAATTACAATTTTCTATAAAGTGGATATAATAATGCTTATTCAGCATGCCTTTCAGGTGGCATAAATGTAAGAGAATAAAATGAGAGATTTTCTAGAATATTTTGAAGAACTTTAAAACAGAATGCAAATAGAGTCATTTTTTTTTTTTTTTTGAGACAGAGTCTCGCTTTGTTACCCAGGCTAGAGTGAGTGCCGTGGAGTCAGCCTAGCTCACAGCAACCTCAAACTCTTGGGCTCAAGCGATCCTCCTGCCTCAGCCTCCCAAGTAGCTGGGACTACAGGCATGCGCCACCATGCCCGGCTAATTTTTTATATATATATCAGTTGGCCAATTAATTTCTTTCTATTTATAGTAGAGACGGGGTCTTGCTCTTGCTCAGGCTGGTTTTGAACTCCTGACCTTGAGCAATCCGCCTGCCTCGGCCTCCCAAGAGCTAGGATTACAGGCGTGAGCTAGGATTACAGCGCCCGGCCTGCAAATAGAGTCATTTTCATATTAAGATCATCTTAAAAATGTATGCCTCAAGATAACGAACATATAAAAAGCAGTCATAAAATAAATGAGACATTCATTGTTATTTCAAAGTGTTTGGAGTATGTCTTTGTCATTGGTGGTATTGTTGGCAAATTTGCTGACATGTGGGCTTCTATAAGAATTTTCGATAGCATTTTTTTAAAATGCTCATGTTTTATTAAAATGATTGATGTGTTTTCCTTAATTTTTTAAGTTCTCTTTTGAAAGTTGTTTTTGGATGTTTTCTATTTTTTGTTGAATTGCCTTCTCATTCTCATATCCCACCCCCCTCCCAGCCTCCTGCACCCTCATTCCCCTCACATGCATATACACTAATACAACTTCTCACCCCACAAAAATTCTCAGATAAAATCTAAGAACAAGGCATTTTATAAGCATTCTAAAATAACACGCTAAGTTATATAGCTAGCTTTATTAGTAATCCACCTTTAAAAATCATCATTTTTTTACAGTGTATTCTCTCCTAGGAATTTTAAGACTGAGCAGGCTTTTGCTATATAAACTAGTCATTGTTGGTCTTTTATTATGTAAAGTGCCTGAATAATTTTTGCAGACTGAGGCAGAGGATCTGGATGGAGGAACCCCATCACGGCAGCATAATTCTGGTGTGCCACTGCCTGTTTCATCTGAGTATGTGTTTGTTATTATCTATTGTTTATTCTGGGGAAAAAAATCAACTTTAAATTGACAGAGGAGTGCTGCTGTCAATGTGTCCATTGTCCTATTGATTTTGCTGGATTAAAATTGGTCCTATTATCTGGCTTTTCAACTCTTCTTTATTCCAGTAATCACAAAAAATGCAATCAATTGTGATGTTTGCTGGTAGGAGATAACCATTGCATTGCAGTGTGTTAGAATTCATAAGGCACATTTCAGGACCAAGCCTTACAAATGACATAAAGCTAATGTGAGTGATAAAACTTAACTTTAGTAAAATATTGTTATATCATAACTGCTGTAGAATAATTATTTTGCCATATTTGGACATTTTTAATTGAAATTTAATTGTGGTATTTTAGTAATTTTATATCTACTCAGTGGATTAAAGTTAAAGGTGAATTCACATGAAGCTTGTAATGACTTTCTACATTTTGTATGTTTTCTGAACAGGAAAGATATGATCCGCCAAATGATGACTAAAATATTCCGCTGTATTGAGCCAGAACTGAACAACCTAATTGCATTAGGAGATAAAATTGATAGCTTCAACTCCCTTTACATGCTAGTCAAAATGAGTCATCATGTGTGGACTGCCCAAAATGTGGACCCTGCTTCCTTTCTGAGTACCACATTGGGAAATGTTTTGGTGACTGTCAAAAGGAATTTTGACAAATGCATTGTAAGTTAAAAAAAAAAAACACCTTAGAATCCTAATCACTGCAAAAAAATAAAAAATCGGTAAATGTATTTAAATTAAGGGATCCTCCAGCATTCTGTTGAAGGTCTATTGTTGATGTCCCTCAAAGCGTTGAAGCAAGGTATTGGTAGAAATCTATATGAACAGAGTTAGTTGGCTGGTACTGTGCCAGCTTGTTTTCCTCCCATGCTGTGAATCTTGGCAAGTTCTGGAGTGAGTGACATAGTGGCAGCAGCTGCTTGAGAGATCCACTGGGTTGATCAGTTTACTGATCAACGACCATTGATTTAATGGAACAATTAAAAGTATCACTGGATTTTTGTTGTTGTTCTTTTAGTATATCCTAAAAAGAAAATTAATTTGATTGTTTAAATTAATTTTAATTAAGTTTAGCTTTAATAATTATGTTGTTTTAAGAATAAATTGTTTTGGCCGGGCGCGGTGGCTCACGCCTGTAATCCTAGCTCTCTGGGAGGCCGAGGCGGGCGGATTGCTCAAGGTCAGGAGTTCAAAACCAGCCTGAGCGAGACCCCGTCTCTACCATAAAAATAGAAAGAATTTAATTGGCCAACTAATATATATAATATAAAAATCAGCCGGGCATGGTGGCTCGTGCCTGTAGTCCCAGCTACTCGGGAGGCTGAGGCAGGAGGATTGCTTGAGCCCAGGAGTCTGAGGTTGCTGTGAGCTAGGCTGACGCCACGGCACTCACTCTAGCCTAGGCAAGAAAGCGAGACTCTGTCTCAAAAAAAAAAAAAAAAAAAAAAGAATAAATTGTTTTTATAACTTTCAGCAATTATCATCTCACTCCTAATAGAAAAAAATTATTAGCAACTTTCTTATTACATTTTGGTGAGCTTGTTTATGTGAATTAGACTGGGCCAGGTCCTTAAAAAAAGTTTTGCTTTATTAATGTACTTACTATGTAAAAGTAGTTTTGCATCATCTGAATATTTCTACTATATTAGCCTCTAAGTTATATCCAGCTCTTAAATATCCATAGAATAATGGGAGATAAGAATATTCAAGGCAGTTAAAATCTATGTCATTTTTTAATACTTTTACAAAATATTTTTTGAGTCTTCGAAAGGTATAAAAGCAACCTACATCCACTGTAGAAACTTAAATGTCACCTCAATAGGCTCAATCCTCCTTCCTAACTAAATGATTTCACTTGGAATTTTTAAAACTATGAAATTTCACTATTTAAATTTTATCTTCTTTCTACCTTCTCCCCCTCCTTCTCCAAAAGTTACAATAAACCAGGAGGGTCTGACTATAGGCTGATAGCCAAAAGGAACAGGAAGAGAGTGCCAGAGGCTAAGATAATGAGTCCCGCATGATACAGTTGGAATACTAAGTCATATGGACACTATGCATTTCCAGAATATAAAGGCTTAGTTGCTTCTATCAGTACAATATAACTCCATACAGGCACTCTCAACCCAGTGTAACATAGGATGATGTAGTGTCAGGTAGACATAGCCGTGGGTTCAGATGAAGTGTTTAGCACACTGCCTGGCACAGAATAAGAGCTTACTGCTAACTCATAGCTTGTCATGGTGGTGATGGTAATAGTAGTAATTAATAATAGCTGATTAAAGAATGGTCATGTTACTCTCAAGGCAGGGCAGCAGAAAAATAAAGTAACCTAGACAAAAGTTATAAATTCACATTTTCTCCTAAATTGCATATCTCTCTAAAGGGACCTACCTTTTGCCACTAAAGAGAAGGATGCTGCCTTCTGCCTTTCATGCCTCTGTTTTATTTTCATTCAGGTCTTTTCATGGCATCTGGTAGATTACATGTGCTCAGTAAGTTGTATGTTTTGGTATTTGGGACAAGAGCAGGACTTAGGGCATAAAGAAGTTGAAAAGGTAATGAATGGGTCTGTGAATATTAAGCAAAAAGCATGAACATCGGGTGGCTGCAGAAAAAGGGACAGATAGCACCTGGCAGTTTCACCTGATGCCCAAGCCCAGAATATCTCACGTTCTTCAAGGAAAAGAGCTAAGAAAGCTAGCCTCACCTGAACTAGAGCTAACATTAGAAAGTAACTTACACATCAAGTACTACCAACCTGGATTCTGCAGTCCAGTACGTTTCTTAACTGCATTTAGTTTACTTTTTTGGGTTCCTCACATTATAGTGACATAGATATACACTCTTAAACTTTTGAGAGTCATAGGATTTGGTTAGAAATTGCCCTGAACAAAGGATGGACAAGTAGTATACTGATGCACGGCTGTATCAAAGTTGTAGTCTTAAACACTAATAGCCTCCCTATCCTTCTGTGATGGCAAATATTGGGCACTCAACTGGAAATAATGTATACTTACAGCTTGAGAGAAACTTGGATGATTTTTGTCAGAATTTGTTCATAGTTGGCTCTTTTCTTAAAGGAAAGTAATTTCAATCCTGGTCCCAAAGCCAGAGAGGACAACTGTCATTTAGAACTTCCTATTAATGTTCAAATATGTTCAGACTACATTCTATATTTTGTACATTTAAATGCCCCACAAAACAAAAATCTGCATGTAACTTAATAAGAACAATAGACCAGTAATCAGAAGTGAGTGCTTACTGTGTGCCAGGCACAAGTCTGAGTACTTTGCACAGCCTGTCTCATCTATTCCTCACCTCTTCCGTGTGATAGGTGCTTCGAGAAGTGAAGTTACTTTCCCCAACTCTACAGTTAAAAAGTGATGGAGTTGGTATACAAACCCAGATGGTCTGGTTCCAGCACGTGCAATCTGACCACTATCTTCTCTGCTGCATTCATCTTTATACCACACAGTTATCAATACTGATGAAGTGGAACATCAGTAAGGATAATATGAAATAGTTAACAGTACTCACAGGGCTTTCTTATATTAACTGCAGCCTAGAGATAATTATTTTTCTAATCCACATGTCATAGTTATACCCCCAAAATATCGACACAATGAAATTTTAGGTAGAAGTTGAAATGACCTAACAGTATTTGACAATGTAATTCTTACCATGAGTAGATCTATATGCCCTGAGAATTACATAGAACCATAATTGAATCCATGGATCTTTTTGAACCCAAATGTCTGGATTCTTGCCTACATGAAACATTTCTTTTTGTATTTTGTCATCATCATGCACAAGCATTTTGCTGAACTAGCTTAAAATAAGTAATATATGGAAAACTATATAATGCAAATCCATATAGAAATGCCTATCCTCCCTGTTCCTACACCCCAAAAATAGAGAATTTGTCTATACAAATAGAAATTTCAGAGTGATGAGAACTGGAAATGTCTGTGGTTCTCAAGTTTGGCCACATAGGCCCCAGCCAGAAGTTACCTAGAGAGATCCCATATGTACTCTGGTATCTGCTCTACTTTAACCCAAAATGAGCAATTGCCTTGAACTTATCTTTCATAAATAATAGAAATGTATATATTACCAATGCCAGCATAGTTATGTATTAAAAAAAACAAAAAAAAGAAATGTATATTGATTATTTTTACTTTGAACCACAGACTTGATGGTTCACAAGCCTTGATTGTATTTTGTTTTAAATAATTTGGATTTTTAACAATTTTCTTAAATAAAACTTACTAGAAGAATTTTTTTGATCTGTAGGATTAGTTTTTCTTAGTTATCCCTGTTGATTCATCTTCAATTAGTAGGCATCCAAAATGGTCTAGGTACTACAGAATGTCCTCCTTCTACAATGTATATATTTGATTAATTATATGTAGTTTCTAAGTTGCTTAGCTATTTCTCTCCCTTGCTTTCTGCCTAACTTTAGAGTAACCAAATAAGGCAAATGGAAGAAGTAAAGATTTCAAAGAAGAGTAAAGTTGGAATTCTTCCATTTGTTGCTGAATTTGAAGAATTTGCGGGACTCGCAGAATCAATCTTTAAAAATGCTGAGCGTCGTGGAGACCTAGATAAAGCATACACCAAACTTATCAGAGGAGTGTTTGTTAATGGTAAACTTTTATTATATTCTAAAGAATCTTTGTGGTTATTATTTTCATTATTTTTTGGTAAATCAGAAGTTGGGGACAGACATGGGCTTATCACTATGCAAAACTGAAAATCATTTTTTAAACACACAAAAAAATGACCTTCCAGATTACAATTGTATTTTAACAAGAGTCTTCTGGAGATAATGGGCAGCAATGTCTGTGGAACCTTAAGCAAATCAATTCAAAGTAGCTTTGCTTTATCTGATTCTAAAGTAATACATGCTCACTGTCTACCCCTCAAAATCAGAAAACTGATTTAAAAAGTCAAGAAGAAAATAAAGATCATTTGTAATCTCATTGTGCAGAAATAATATTTAATTTGTATTCTTCCAAACTTTCCATTGTCACTCACTTTCTCTCCTATTGTGTGTATATTATATGTATATGTGTATTCTTTGATATAAAAATTTTATTCTATGGGACACACTGTTTTGGAAGCTGCTGGACTCTATAATCCTAGTGTCTTTCCTTGCAAATTAATTTCTATAATCATAATCATTTTTAGTGATTACAGTCTTTCATGTATCATCATCTATTTACCAGATCTATTAGTAGGCAGTTTATAGTTTATATATCTTTATATATTTGTCAGATAATTTCCTTAAAGTAAATTATTAGAAATGCAACGATTGGATCAAAAGGTTTGTGTGTATCTCAAGGCTGTTGCCAAATTGTGATATAGAAAGCTCGTACCCATTTAGTGCTGTGAGCACTTGGTGAAAGTTTCCATTACACCTGTACCAGTACTAGACATTACCAGGTGTTACCAACGTTATTATTCTTTGTCAACCTCTAATAGGCTATAAATTATGTCACTATTTTAATTTGCATTTCATTGATTTTGTTTATGATGTCTTTTACTTTATAGAATTTTTCAAATTTTATGTTAAATTTATCCATCTTTCCTTTTATGGCTTCTACATTTGGGCCCTTCTTAAAGTGGTCACACTGTCACAAAATTATAATTTTTTAATCAGCAATATTTTCTTTAGTACTCAACGATTACATTTATTTATTTGCTTTTTACATTTTAAGTATTTAAGCAATTTAGAATTGGCTGAAAGATTTGAAATAGGAATCTGAATTTAGTGTATTCAAAAGGTCCACCTGGTTGTCCTAACATATTTTTAATCAATGCCCCAGTGATTCAAAAAGCCACCTTTATTATATATAAATTTTAATATATACATGGTACCATTTTAGGATGACTTTTTATTATGTTCAGATATACAAAGACCCTCTAGTATAGTATATTTTATTAAGTCCAAAAATGTGCTTAATTCTTAAACATACAAATGAAAAAAAATTAATCATATAAATATGTTTATAGCTAAATACAATCATACTTATTTTTTCTTGTTTGATTTTAGTGGAGAAAGTAGCAAACGAAAGCCAGAAGACCCCCAGGGATGTGGTTATGATGGAAAATTTTCACCATATTTTTGCAACTCTTTCTCGTTTGAAAATCTCATGTCTAGAAGCTGAAAAAAAAGAGGCCAAACAGAAATACACAGATCACCTTCAGTCTTATGTCATTTACTCCTTAGGACAGCCTCTTGAAAAGCTAAATGTAAATATGTTTTCATTCAGTATTTTTTCCTGTTTTTGAACCTATATACATCTGTATGCATGTGAATAACATGTAGACGTTTATCTTAAATTTTCTCATGTAGTGACACGGGGATAAAAAGGAGGGACTTGGTTATTGAAGCTGCCTGTATGCCAGACACTGCTAGATGCCTTATACTTATATCTTTTATCTGTATATTATTTCTACATAGTTTATTGTCTGTTATAATATTTTAATAATCTTATTATTAATAATATTATTCTGGTTAATAATTAATATTATTCTATGATCCATACATTATTTCTTTTACTTCTTATAAACAATGATGTGAGCTAAGATAGTATTATCCCCATTGTACAAATGAAGAAATTGAAAGTATGTAAACTTGCCCAACGTTACAATAGCTTATAAATAACAAAGCTGGGAGATGAACCTAGATTAGGCTTTTCCATTTTACCAACTGTTTTCCATTTCTTACTTCCTAAATGGTCAATCTTTGTGGTTAGTTTAGGTGGAGATTCCAAAAACATTATCAAGATACAAATGAAACCAAAAATTGTTTTGTACATTGCCTTTTCCTTTCCTTTCCTTTTCTTTCCTGACTTGAGTCATTTACCAGAGCAAGTCTGATAATTAAAGTTAAGAAATGATGGTTTTAGAGAACTCTGAACATAGTGGAAGCTTAAATGAACCTTCTAACTAACTTTGTCCACAGTATGATTAGTCATCTTTTATATGTTTTTAACTTGAAATTAGAGTCAAATAAAGGATATGTAGCTATTGGCAACAATTCAAAGAATTACTTAAAAGACATTTAATCAGATGTGGACTTAATTCCTTATTAAATTCAAGAACAGACAGATATTCTTTTAATCAGATAAAAGATGTCTTAGGCCTAAAGCCTACGTGATACTTAACAGCAAACTTAGAGGCATACCCTTTGACAATTTAAAGCAGAAACATTGCTAGATCCTTTACTATTTAACAATGTTTTTGAAGCCATGGCCAGTGCAACAAGACCTGAAACATAAGTAAGAGATCTGGAAAGGAGGTTCAAGATTATCATTGCCTGTATACAATATGTTGAAATGATCGGTCTCTGATAAAGTGGCTGGATTCAAAATAAATTTTAAAAACAATTTCTTTCCTCTATGCCAGTAATAACCAATTAAAAGCCTATGTAAAAACAAAATTTCAGAAGCACATATGAATTTAATAGTCCCATGTACTTTTTCACATGTTAAAAGATAAAGAAACCTAAAATGTTAACAGTGGTTATCTGAGAGGTGTGAGAATAAGTGATTGTTATTTTATTCTTTATACTTTCACACTCTTATTTTTACACAGTGATTATATATATACTATTTGGTAATCAGGTTTTTAAAAAATGTAAGCAGTAATAAAAGCAGGTCTTAGCCATTGTTTCTTTTCATTTCCATGAAGCATTTCTTTGAAGGCGTTGAAGCTCGAGTAGCACAGGGTATAAGAGAGGAGGAAGTAAGCTACCAACTTGCATTTAACAAACAAGAACTTCGTAAAGTTATTAAAGAGTATCCTGGAAAAGAAGTAAAAAAAGGTCTGGATAACCTCTACAAGAAGGTTGACAAACACTTGTGTGAAGAGGAGAACTTACTTCAGGTATGCTTAGTTCTTGTGACAATCCTTTAAAGATCCTTACATATATTGCTTTTCTCTAAATATTTCTCTAGAAATGCTACAGATCTGGAGCAGGAAGAAAGTTCCATAAAGTAGAGACCAGATTAATGAATTGTAAGGAAGAAAGAAATAATATTTATATAAACTTATATTGCTGTCGCTACTTATTTTGCATTTCTATTTTATGGTGCAGCATTAAGTTTTTTTTTTTCTTTTGTTTGTTTGTTTGATTGGTTAAGTGTTTGGAGTTAGAAATGGGTTCATAATTTGCCTCCAGGTTAAGCTACATGACTTCGGGCAAGTTATTGAACCTCTCTGAGCCTCAGTTTCCTTATTTGAAAAGCAGAAATGGGCCGGGCGTGGTGGCTCACGCCTGTAATCCTAGCTCTCTGGGAGGCCGAGGCGGGTGGATTGCTCGAGGTCAGGAGTTCGAAACCAGCCTGAGCAAGAGCGAGACCCCGTCTCTACTATAAATAGAAAGAAATTAATTGGCCAACTGATATATATATAAAAAAAATTAGCCGGGCATGGTGGCGCATGCCTGTAGTCCCAGCTACTCGGGAGGCTGAGGCAGAAGGATTGCTCGAGCCCAGGAGTTTGAGGTTGCTGTGACTGACGCCACGGCACTCACTCTAGCCTGGACAACAAAGCGAGACTCTGTCTCAAAAAAAAAAAAAAGCTCACAGAAGGTTTCCAGAAGGAAACTCATTAATTGTATTAACCTCTGAAAGCCAGATGTATTTTAACAAGTCAAGTGGGATGGGGGGAAATGGTGTTCTAGGTGTAAGAAATAGCATGAGCTAAACAACAGTACTGTTAGGGAATGGTGATTGGTTTTTATAGGAATTTGGGATTTATGAGATTTAGGATTTTCAAGAAAAAATTCTGAAAGAATACATTCCCTCAGCTGTCAAGTAGAGATGATAATCATGATACCCACCCTCATCAGCATGAGACTTAAATAGGATAACACATACATAAGGCACTGGGCGCGGTACTGATGTAGAGTAAGCTGTAATCTGTTAATATCAGCTATTATGTCAATGTGTGTGTCATAGTCTGTCTTGACAGTTGTCTACATGTTAGGCTCCACTGCTAGATTATAAATCACTTGATAGCAGAAAGTAGGTCGGACTCATTTTGACGTCCTCCATGGCACTGAACGATGTTTTACATCATCAGTTTTAGATAAAGAAAATTTTAAATTTTATCAGAAGTCAAATTGAAGCATTAACTGTTGCACTTTGTTTAATCACTAGTCTTGGTTCCATTTATAATTGTATATATCTGCATCTATCTTAGATATTGGAGTATATATAATAATAGCTAAAATGCAATCAGTGCTTGTGTCGAATGCTATTCTAAGCACTTTATGTACATTCACTTATTTAATCCTCACAAAAAACTTCTGAGGAAGATATTATTACTCTGATTTATTGATAAGGAACTTAAGGTACAGGGCAGTGATATCATATACTGGTGGTCACAAATCTTGGAAGTAAAAGGAGCTAGGATACTCACGCCTGTAATCCCATTGCTTTGGGAGGCCAAATGTTTGAGACTAGCCTGAGCAACATAGTGAGACCCTGTCTCTACAAAAAAATTTTTTTCTGAAAAGGAGCTAGGATTCTGGCTTAAGAATGCATGTTCTTAACTACTATACTATACCAAATTCTTAGAATATGTCTTGACATTATTTCTACATATGTGATTATATATTTATATTATTTCCATTCATAGCTTAATGACTTTTCTTTTTTATAATAGGTGGTGTGGCACTCTATGCAAGATGAATTTATACGCCAGTACAAGCACTTTGAAGGTTTGATAGCTCGCTGTTACCCTGGCTCTGGTGTTACAATGGAATTCACTATTCAGGACATTCTGGATTATTGTTCCAGCATTGCACAGTCCCACTAAACCTTGTGAAAGAAGAAAAGATAAATGAATAAAGCACACCAGACACTATACCAAAATATCAAGCAACTGCTTTGAGAATGCATACTTAAAATGTATGTATTAATAAATGTCAGATAAATGGGTAGTGCCATACTACAAATATTTAAGTGCAAAAATACAACCTATGTGCAGTTTTGCTCAGTAGGTTGTGTATTAACTTAAAGCATTTATCTCAGCATAAAATGCTGTTAGCATTTTTCAGTGACTGAACAGGAAATTTTTCTTTATTGCCTGGTTTCTTGTGTTTCAGAGTGGTTATCCTAGGAGTAGGGCATTGGGAGTTCTTCAGCTTTCACTACTTCTTACAAATCATGTAACTACTAAAATATTTTACAGAATTTTTTTTCCCACTGTCTAACAGGTATGTATATAGATAAGGGAACTAATGTGATGATCAATTGTAAGCTTAGATTTTGAGGATTATGCAACTCTGTGTAGTATTAAATGTGAAATAAAGAATTTTTCAAAAAAGTTGACATTTGATAATATTTTAAGTCTGTTATATGCTATCGTCTGTATAAAAGCAAGTTGTTACAAAATCAATATACAAAAATTAATTACAAGTTTATATATCATAAAACACTTAAAAGTGTTATAATAAGAAAAGTAATGAGATAATAAGAAAAATAAAACTATGATGCCATCAAAGATGTTTAGTATTTAGGACTAAATCTAATAAAAGATGTGCTTTTGTGTCCTCCCAAAATTTATATGTTGAAGCCCTAACCCTCCATATGACTATATTGGAGATAGGACCTTTAGGAAGGTGCGATAAAGGTTAAATGAGGTCACGAGGGTGGGGTCCTTACCCAATAGACCTGATGCCCTTATATAGAGGAAGAAACACCAGAGCTCTCTCACTGTCTCTGCCACGTGAGGGCACGGTGAGAAGGCAGCTGTCCGCAAGCCAGGAAGAGGGCCTTCGCCAGAACCTGACGGTAGTGAAGTCCTGATCTCAGACTTCCAGCTTCCAAAACTGTGAGCAAATAAACTGCTTAAGCCACCTAGTCTATGGTATTCCTTTATGGCAGGCCAAGCTGACTAATATAAGATGTATAAGGCCTTTATGGAAAAATCACAAAACTATTGAAAGATAATAAAGAAGGCCTAAAAAAGTGGGGGAATATTGCATGTTTCCAGAACCTGTCATTTTTGGATAAAAGTAAAATAACAATCCACAAACTGAGAGAAGATAACTGTAACACAATGTAACAAAGCAATTAGTATCGAAAACCTATTTTAAAACTCTTAGAGATGAGTTTAACAATGGACGGGGCATGGTGGCTCACACTTGAAATCCCAGCACTTTGGAAGGCTCAGGCAGAAGGATTGCTTAAGGCCAGCCTGGGCAATATAGTGAGACCCCATCTCTACAAAAAATTTAAAAATTAGCCAGATGTGGTGGCATATGCCTGTAGTCCCACCTACTCAGAGTGAGATTCTATCTCTTATTTAGGCATTTCACAGAGTATAATTATCAGTAGACTGGCTCTAGCCATTTGCAATTAAACTTAGAAGGTGAGATGCAGAAGCAGACACTATTATATTAAGAGATGATAAGACCAGCATTTTGTTTCAATGGTTTTATAAACTTGATTTTATTACTCAAAAGAAGTAATGAGTTACTGTTTTTCTGCTGAATGGACCAGCACATTAATTTTAAAGTCATGTGCCATTAATACTTCAGGATTAAGTAGAGAATGGAAGACATACACTTGTTGGGGAAGAAAAGACAAACTAAAAATCTTCCTGGGTTAATATACAAATGCCCTGGTGAGCTTTCTGAAGTGAGAGGTATTAATTTGGTTTCTTGTGTCCGATATGAAGAGAAAAGTAGGATTATACTGAGGGATCAAAGAAAATTGTAGATCACTAAATGATATGTCTGCTTTAATAACAAATATGTAAAAATAACATGTATCTAAACAGTAGAGTGTGTGTGCAATCATTTAAAATTTTAATAGGTTGTGTTTAATTTTTTTAATGATTATATGTTACTATTTTTTTTTTTTTTTTTTGAGACATAGTCTCGCTTTGTTGCCCAGGCTAGAGTGAGTGCCATGGCGTCAGCCTAGCTCACAGCAACCTCAAACTCCTGGGCTCAAGCAATCCTTCTGTCTCAGCCTCCCAAGTAGCTGGGACTACAGGCATGAGCCACCATGCCCGGCTAATTTTTTTATATATATTAGTTGGCCAATTAGTTTCTTTCTATTTATAGTAGAGACGGGGTCTCGCTCTTGCTCAGGCTGGTTTCGAACTCCCGACCTCGAGCAATCCACCCGCCTCAGCCTCCCAGAGAGCTAGGATTACAGGCGTGAGCCACCGCGCCCGGCCTATATGTTACTATTAATCAAGAGTTTCTATTTAACTTCCATTGCATAATGGAAATAAGGTAAATGAAAAAACTTACCCAAACTTTTACACTTATTGACTGGGTAACTTTAGGCAAGTTATTTAACATTTGGGGGTCCTGAGAAGCACAGTTATGATCCTTTTGTGTTTTGTAGATATAATTATATAACAATTTGTGCAGAAAAGTTTGAGGGTTCTTTGAAAGAAATTTTATGTTGTTTCATTATAATTTAACATGTCTAGCATTTGCTGTCTTTTGAAAGAGATCTTTTTCCTGCTTTTTCTGGACCAGCTGTTTCTTATTAGTTTATGCCCCAGGCTTTGCCAAGTTGTAACTAAGCCCATATCGATTACTGTGCAACTACTTTGAAATCAGCATTGACCAGTCAATATTATAGCACTTAAGGAAGAAGACCTTTCTAAAAGGATTTTAAAGTACTGGAATAATACAACATTTAATCCGCAATACCACATGCTGTCATAAAAAAGTTAGTAGGCCCTAAAATTTAATGTGAATAAAAATAATCTTGAAGTAGTATTCAAATTTACTTATGATAGCTTCACTTGGAATTTATAAACGAAGTTTACTTTAACTATAGCTATAAATTGTACTACTTCCAACCTCTGCTCATAAAAATTCATATTGATACTTGTTTATTCAGCGGGAGTAATCTGCTGTATGATTGATCAAACCATAAAATGCATTGCAATGAACAGGGCTCTGAACAGAAGCAAGGAGGACAGTTAATGTGAGTATAATAGACTGAATACTTTGACTTTTAGCAATGAAGCCTGAAGTGATGTCTCTCTAGGGCATCACTCTAAGGATTGTGATTTCTCTGTTGATTCTCGGGGTCCCTTGTCTTTTTAAATAATTCGCTGCCTCTTAGCCTTCTCTTTGGACATACACAGTTTCTTTTCCTGCCTGAAAAATTATGTTGTATAAAATGTATCAAATTACTCTAGAAATGAGTTGAATTGTCTCTAATTCTATATCACACTAGAATCATTCTGGATCCCAGTGGAATATCCATCACAAGGATTGGCCTGTGACTAAAGTAGCTGGACCAACCAGACCCTCTGCCTCTCCGCCAGGCATCTGAATCTTGAGCACTGGCCTGACTCATTCCAGTGGTCACACCAAGAGACTGCTCATAAATGTATTCTATAAAGACTCCAGAGTTGTCCTGGTTTCTATCCCTCCCAAGGTCAGACGGTTCTGTTTTCCTTTGATTCTGTGAATTACCCAATATTCTTCCCATATTGGGGCAGGGGTGGCAGGGAGCACTTAAGTTAGCTGAAATTAGTTTCTGTAGTTTGCAACCAGAGATCCCCCACTGATGCAAGCACAAAACACATATATACACAAAATCAAATAAGATATATAGGACAATACAGTCAATGATAGATGCCAAGTGAATAATACAGACAGTAAGTGTTGTAATAGCTCAAAGGAGCTAGATACATCTATGGTCTGATAAAGTCAAGGAAGATTTTATAAAGGAAGTGGGGCTAGGCACAGTGTCTCATGCCTGTAATCCTAGCACTTTGGGAGGCCGAGGTGGGAGGATGGCTTGAGCCCAGGAGTTTGAGGCTGCAGTGAGCTATCATCATGTCACTGCACTCCAGCTTGGGCGACCGAGTCTCTAAAATTAAAATAAAATAAAGTAATAAAATGGATCACACACGCTTCCTTGTTTATAATCCTTTGTCCCAGTTACTTTAGCTGTGTAGCAAATTCCCCAAACTGGGATGGGGAAAAATAACCATTCTTATGCTCATAGATTCCGTGGGTCAGGATTCAGGCACAGCAGAGACGGCTTGTCTTTGCTCCGCGATGCCTGGAGCCCCAGCGGGTGTAACTCACAGGCTGGGGGCTGCAATCTTCTGAAGATTCCTTCTCTTACAAGACTGGCTGTTGACTGGGAGCTTCAGGACCTCTCCACGTGGGCCCCTCCAGGTGGATTCTCTGTAAAGACTTGTTTGGGGTCCGTCACAGCTTGGTGGCTGGGTTCCCAGGGAAGTAGGAGGGGGAGATGGGGAGAGAGAATGATTATAACTACCTGCAAAAGTCACATGACTTCACTTCCGCCATGCTCTATTGGGCAGAGAAGTGACAAGCCCCTTCCCTAGACTCAAATAGAGGGAAAGGAGAGCACGAGCCACTTTGTAAGAAGAGCGTGTGGATGGGGTGTATACTGGGGCAGCTATCTCTGGAACATTCCATCTGCCTGATGCTCTAGAAAAGCAAAGTCCTTCACCCGGTCCCGTCCATAGGGCCCTATGCAGTCTGGGTCCCCGCCTACCTCTCCAAACTCATCTCCTGCCTCTCCCCCTCGCTCACCCTACTCCAGTCACACTTGCCTTTTTTCTGTTCCATGAACCCACTGAACCAAACTCTCTTCTTTTACCATAAATACCCTGGCCCCAAGCTCTGTGCGTCTGCTTCCCTGTCATCACGAGGTCTTAGTGCACACACTGCTCCTCAGGGACGCCTTTCCTGACCCCCATCCATGGCAGTTCCCCAGCCCTTCGTTACTCTCTCTCACATGAACCTGTCTCGTTTTTTCATGTCACCTAGCTGTAACCTCGAATTAGAGTATTCACTCATTTGTTTACACGCCTACTTTCTGTCTCCCACCTGCACTCCCCACAAGAAGGTAAACTCTCTGAAGGCAGGGTCTCTCCCATCCTGGTCGCCTCCCTCTCTACAGAGCCTGCAACAGCAAGGCCTGACTCATGGTAGGTGCTCAGTATGTATTTGCTGAGCAAACTAAGTGGATAAGAAAGGATGATGTTTATTCTGAGCCTGAAAAGACAAGCTAGTGGGATTTTTTAAAAAGTAGCTTTATTGAGCTATCATTCACATATAGTACAGTTCATCCAATTAAAGTTCAATGGCTTTGAGTATATTCACAGAGTTGTGTGACCAACACCACTAATTCCATAACATTTTCATCACCCCCAAAAGCAACCCTGTGCCCATTAGCACTCTCCATTCCCCACTGACCCCTAGCAACCACTAATCTGTCTCTATGTATGGATTTACCAATTCCGGACATTTCATATAAATGGAATCATACAATATGATTGGCTTCTTTCACTTAGCATAATATTTT